GCAGGTGGAGAGAGAACTGGTCCCATTTCTCAGGATGTTGTCCTAGTACTACTGGGAAAATCAGAATAGCAACCTGTAGAGAAGCCATTTTCATAGAGAAGTATCTGAATCAATGGAGATACTTCAGTATGAAGAAAAAAACCCAAAAACCAAAAACTGAGAGTCTGAACATGGGAAAAACTAGCAGAGCTTTTGTGTTCAGATCATGACCAAGAGGGAACAGCTGAGTCTGAAGTCAAGCACTGCAAAGGGATGGCTTCTGAAGTCCAAATAGTTTGGTTGGAAACAAGCCACTGAAGCCAAGACGGCAGCCCTACCTCTCACGTCCTACCAGTGTACAGACTGAATGGACCCTTGCCTGGAGAGGGTTTCCTGTGACTGTGACCACCTACCCTGGGGGTCCTGAGAGGCCCCAAGCTGACACTACTTAATGGGGCTTGGGAGAAGAGATTCCCTGGGTTCCTCAGGTTTCTGGCATTTGTTGGCAAGACTGAAGCTGTCTGGATAGAGCGTGGTGAAGGTGGACTGTGCAGCAAGCAAAGATGCTGTGAGGGAAGTGGTCTCGCCCTTTCTGAGAGCTCAGTAGAAAAGACACAAACCTCGACTTTCCACTGTGGCTACAGTGGCTTCTGAAGTAGCCTTCTAAGCAGGGAGGACCAAGGTCCACTCTGCTAGGATGAAAAGCGGCCAAAGCACTGGTTCTACAGGGTCTTTTTATATTAAAAAAAAAAAATCCAAGATACTGTCTTTTCTGAGAGAACTGTACAGAACAGACAGTATAAATGTGTAGCTTTCCTCTCAACAACATGAGGGATGGCTACCCACATCAGTGTTTGTACTTGTCAAGGACGCCTAGGAAACATAAAATGCCAAAGTTTTCTTTCCCTTAGCATATTGTGAACAAAGATGTATGTAGGAAAACTGGATCCTCCAAATAAACTAACTTTTCAGGTATTTTGCTAATATGTAAGAGGCTACCTCCTACGGCTTGTTATAATTTATAAAAGCCTTTTAGCACTAAAATGAACAAGGAAAAATTGAAGGAAGAATCTCTGCATTAGACTCCCCTTCTGAATGATAGTGCTTGACTCAAGTACAAGTGAACAGGGCACGGGTGAACTGAATTCATGAGCTGGAAGGGACATTTCCGAGGATCACTTAAGTGACATGCTGCAAACTCCAGGCATGTGCACTGGTCTGCCCAGAGGCAATCGCCCAAAGTCTATACAAACAGGGAGCCCCACTGGGCAGCTGGTCCTTAGGTATCTAGTCTGTACCTCACCAAAGACAGTCCACATGCACCATGAGAATCGTCTTTCATGCCTTCCATTCCCAAGCTTTATGTATTATGCATCTTTATGTATCAGCAGCTTAAAGATCACGGGCTCTCAGACCTCGGGCCTGCAGTGTAGGTTCAGCTCAAGAGAATGAGGCTCACTGGGAACTTCATGGCCTTGCTACAGCCATCTGCCTTACAGGTACTAACTAGCTGCGGTCGGTATTTTAACATCCTCCCTCCAAATCAAACCATGCACATGTTTACCACTAAAGGAGCAAAATTCCAAGGCCTATGTCACAGATTTTTTTGAACAAGGACAACTCATTTTGGTTGGGAAGGGAGCTTATAAAACTGAGCAGGTTTCCTGCTCTAGGCATGGTAACAACACAAAGTGCTGAAGCCATTCCTGCTGTCTGCTTATTCTGTCTGTCATACACACACTCTGTTCAGACTGTCTTGGGGCACAAGTCACACTGTACTTGAACAGTTTCACTACCTCTGACTTAAGAAATTGGTTTAGATTTAGAAACAGCAGAATTGCTGGGCGGTGGTGGCGCATGCCTTTAATCCCAGCCCTTGGGAGGCAGAGGCAGGCGGATTTCTGAGTTCGAGGCCAGCCTGGTCTACAGAGTGAGTTCCAGGACAGCCAGGGCTACACAGAGAAACCCTGTCTCGAACCCCCCCCCCAAAAAAAAAACCCAGCAGAATTAGGAATCTCTGCAGGGATACAGTGAGCCATTTCTTCATCTGGATTATCAAACAGGGGCACTTTCTTTCTGAAGACAGATCTGGGGATCATCTTCTAAAATTGGCAGAGTTCTGCTACTGCTTTAAGTAAGTATAGGCTTTGCTAACGGGCGGAGTATTCAACATTCATTCTGGCAAAACAACAAAAATGACAGATTTTCCTCCCCACACTTCTTTAAAGCGCATGGCCCCCAGCCTGTTTTCTGTGTGACTGTTTAGAGGAAGGAGAGATTCAGTTGAGTCTCGTCCTTCCTACATAAGGCACAATAAATACAACCACTGAATAGACTTCCAGCAGGGGCACATGACAGGAAGCTTGCTAAGCACTGAGGGCTGAGTGCCTCCGTGTAGCCTGATGGAGCTGTTCTTCACATGGAGCGTGCAGGCAGCCACACATGTCATCGGGGGAGTGACAACGGACTGACATCAGTGCTGTACACTGATGTTACTGAGGAATAGCAGACTGACCCTCAAGAGGGGAAAGCCTCTTCAGCTCCCCATTAAGCAGTATGACCAGCACCTTTGGGGTAGAGAATGGCTGTGTGCAAGGAACCTAAGTGCCCTCCTACAGAGACCCAGATGCTGTGATCACAAGTTAACTTCCCCCACTTCCATTTTGATTCTTGTGTTAAACTGACTCAGTGTTGTCGGACCCAGAGTAATATAGACATAGGTTAGGAGAGATAAAGATCAGAGTTCATCTTTTTCAACATCCCAACTTAGGCCCCCTTTTTGAGGGAGGCAGGGCTGATCTCCTTACGTAGGCCTGGCTGGCTTTAAACCTCTGGTGACCCTTTTGCCTGTCTAGGATTACAAGTGTTACCACCACTCCTGACTCGGTCTAGTACTGAGATGTCCTTAGTAGTCTATCATAGAGGAACAGGGCTACACTTGACAGCACTACACAGTGGTAGCTAGAATGTCCAGGGGTGGGACACACAAAGATTGAATCTTTGGTTAGCTTGCCAGCCTCCTCCCTTGGAGAGGGTCTCATGTAGTCCAAGCTGGCCTTGAACTCACTATGTAGCTGAGATCTTGTAAGATCTAACCTTTCTGCCTGTTTCCAAAAAGCTGGGATTAGAGCCACATGACATGCCCAAGTGCTAATTTAAAGCTCAAGTTTTGTTGATGTAAAGCATAGAGCAGCAGGGGTGCAGACAAAGGAAACAGTTCCTTGAAAAATTTTGCAAGGATGTTGTAGTCTAGTGAAAGGGATGGGTATAACACATGCATTTGTTTTAAGTTCTGAAACATCTTAGGACTAGTAACTCAGTATTTTGAAGACTAAAAAAGCATCTTGTGGCCCCTGACATCTCTAATCTTGCTATGTTCCCAGAGACATGGTAGTGATAACAGGAGGTAGCTCCCGTTGCATTCTAGGTCACTTTGCTCTAACAGCCTGAGATGTGTTCCAGAGCTCACGCCAATACAAAACCCTTTGAAACCTGCCAGGACCTTTGTGCCCCTTGAATACTCTGGGCTCGCACTACAGTTTCCTTCTGACAGAATGAGTTTCCTCTTGAAGAAACCTAAGCCATATCTGTATAGTCATACATATCAGTGTTAATGGCCTCAATTACATAATTAAGCCAGCCAAAGCTTTTGTTCAGCTCCTAACAGTCAAGTCTCAGAAAGGTATCATGGACTAGAGTCTGTACTTTCCCCACAGGACTGAAAAGAGCATCATTTTGGACTGAACTTAGTGCAGGGCTCACAGGACCCAGATACAAATGCCCGTGACTTCAGCTGGTTTCAGAACTGATTCTCTAGCCACTCTCTGCTCCCTTTCAAGGCCTTAATGTATTAGTAAGTTGAGTTTGGCTTGGCAGTGGATGTCCATGCTCCCCTACTTGGAGAAGCAGAAATCACAGACATACTGCAGTATTTTCATGGCATCTTTGGCTTTAAGAGCACGGATGCAGTCAATTGGAGTGTTCAAGGTTTTAACAAAAACATTGAATATTGAGTTAGTTTGAAATGCAATTTACCCAGGAATAAATCTGATAAGGTCATTTTGATAATTAAAATATGGAAAAGATAGCATGTATAAGAAATCAATGATGGCCATATTCTTGAAATAAAGACAAAAGTAGTGACATTTGTTTCATTTTTACAAATTGCACATGGGTAAAATCATACAGTACTGCAGATAACTATAGACAAGCAATTTGGTCAAAGGAATTTGTTTGTTTCATTTGTAAATTAAAAAGCTGTATGAAATGCATAGCTTTGATTAAAACTATAAAAAGTTTCCTTCTCAGTAAAACTCCAAATTTAGGATGCTGGCAAAAGGCAGTGCTGGCGAAGTTTTTAATGCACATGGAGATGCTATTCTATTTTGGCTTCCAGAAGTAGCCCTAGTAACTCCTATGCACCAATGTATTGACAAATGGTCACTTCAGTTTACTGTAAAATGTTCTACATGTCACCTAGGTACTTAAAAGTTAGCGCTTGCTCCCTTCTAGAAGCTAAGGCAGCAGATGCATGAGGTGCTCAGCTAGCCCTGGACTAGCTCAGCAGTTCACCTGCTCCTCAGGCAACAAGGATCGAAACCTATACCTTCACTGACTCCCACTGAGACATTCAGGTTCACTCTGCCTACCAAAGCCAGCAGGGTGAGGGAGAAGCCATCACCACTGCATACTGCTCCTCACAGCCACCTCAAGTCTAAATGGTCACACGGGGGGGTCTTTGAACCCTACCTCCCTGAAAACAACTGAACTTCATCCACTGCGGCTCTTCAGAGCAGGGCCTCCCTCCTCAGAGAGCATGCATGGTTGGCGATGTCCTGCTGCTCTGCTGCTTTGTTTTCATCCCTGCTATGGCAACTTTCATTTCAATCATCTCAGCCTTCATGTGATTTGCTTATTGTGTTTCTCTAGTTTTCACTAAACACAAATGCAAACAAAGGTAAAGACTGAAGCAATCATTTCAAACACAGGAGCTCACACTAAAGACACACATGAGCATCAACTATTAAAACATGAGTTCTCTCCTGTCTTTATTCTGGGGAGGAGGGGTCCTCCTCTTCATCTTCCTCATCTTCATCGTTGAATGAACAGGGGGTCTCGCCTCGGGACTCCGAAAAGTGAGAGGCCGCACTGCTGGACTGATGACTGTTTGGGGCAGGGAACTGCCCAGTTGTTAAGGCCACTTCAGCATCCAAGCACAACCCTTGGTTTACACTATTGAGGAAGTTAAAAACACACAGGTTCATCAATGCAGGGTAGACAGTTCTTTTCTTTTTGCACACACAGGAATAAAAACATAGGAAGTCCTGCTAGGAAGGTCTACTTGCTATCAACCTGACCCACCTGTTGCAGCAGCAACACAGCAGAGTCAGGTCTCTCTCTGTGGCTTGCTTTTTGCACCTTGAAAAAAATACATACCTTGACTGGGTTACAGCTGCACCAGTAGTTGGGTCTAAATTTGAAACTGATTGGGTAGAGTTCAAAAGCAGTCCCTGATTTAACCAAGAAGGTCCTGTAGAGATATCTGCAAGATCAAACAAACAAATAAAACTATAGCAAATGTGGCCTTTGAACTCTTGTGACTGTTCTGCTGTAGTCTGAAGTAAACATGGGTTTTATGTCTTGGTGACAGCTGGACAATCCTCCAGCCCTGTGAAGAACCTGGTGCTCTTCATGAGTTATTTGGGGGTGTGGGACGAATAAATTTTTGAACAAGAATGGGGAAAGAAACTATAGAAAGGCAGACTCCAGAGAGAAAGAATTCAAAGTAAAACTTTAATTACTCCCCTTTTCCTCAATGTGTTTCTTTCAAGACATTTCCTGAAATCATGTGTGAAAGCCTGAGTTGGGGTGAATAGATAAAAAAGCAGATACCCATGAAAGAGGTGTTGGATTCCCCTGGATATGGCAACTATTATCTGTCCAATAGGAACTGGACTTAGTCTACTGAAAGGGAGGTGTGTACTCTTAACTACTTGGCCGTCTCTCTAGCCTTTATGTAAGACCTGACTAGGTAGCTTACTGGGTTTAGTGGTAAGAATGTAGACTGTCAGACTGGAGAGATGGCTCAGTGGTTAAGAGCACTGACTGGCTCTTCCAGAGGGCCTGAGTTCAATTCCCAGCGACCACATGGTAGCTCACAATTATCTGCAATGAGATCCAATGCCCTCCTTCTGGTGTGCCTGAACACAGTGACAGTGTACTCACATATATAAAATAAATAAATAAATCTTTAAAAAAAAATGTGGACTGTCTTGGACATCTGATGAAACAACATGACTGTGATGTTAATAGCCAAAGCCAGAATTGAGTAACGACATAAAAAAATCAGAAATACCTTAGAAAAGAATACATGGCTTATGGATCAGGCAGAGGTTCACACTCAGCACACCTTCCCCAGCCTCTCAGTTTGCATGTGTGTATGGTGTGTGTGCAGATAGATATGTTCCTGAGACAGGGTCTTTCACGGAGACTTCGGCTTGCTAATTAGGCTAGGCCAGCAGACCAGCCAGCCCTAAGGATCCTGCCATCTGTCTCCCAAGCACTGGATATTAGCATACAGCATCACACGTGACCAACTGAACCAGCTTCCCACCCTGGGGTACTTTCTTTTTAAGTGTATGCAGATGAACTCAACACCAGATGCTCATCAATGACCTAAGCTTTTTCCTAACTAGTTCCCTGCCTGGTGTCATGTGCTTTACCATTCCAAACAGTCCTTCTTTTAAAAGGCCATGCTTTTAATGAGGGAATTTTTATAATGCAATCATTTTTAAAATTTATTTCTGTTTTATTGTATGTGTATGAGTGTTTTGCCTGCTTGTGTATCTGTACACTAGTTTCATTCCTGGTACCCATGGAGGCCAAAAGAAAGCATTAGAGTCCCTGGAACTCAGGTTTCAGGTGGCAGAGAGCCACCAAGTAGGGCTGGGAACTGGACCTGGGCTCTCTGGAAGAGCACAGGATGCTCTTAACCACTGAGCCCTCGCTCCAAGCCTGCATTCATGGTTTTAAAAAAGATGAGAGAGCTATCACAGGAAACCACAAGAGTATGTCCTGGCCATCTCCTTTTCCCCAACGACAGACTAATTCTTTTTTTTTTTTTTTTTTTTTTTTTATTTATTTATTATATGTAAGTACACTGTAGCTGTCTTTAGACACCCATATGAGGGCACCAGATCTCATTGTAGATGGTTGTGAGCCACCATGTGGTTGCTGGGACCTGAACTCATGACCTCTAGAAGAGCAGTCAGTGCTCTTAACCGCTGAGCCATCTCACCAGCCCGACAGACTAATTCTTACTGCACTCTTACTTGAATGGTTCTTCCTGTACAGAATATCAACTCAGAGAAAACTGGACCTGAATGTCCAGGGACCTTAGAATTCCTGAATGAATGTATATATAGTCTCTTTTAACAGTGGCTTTAATAAACAGTAAAAGCTTTAGAAATACAGCCCTAAAAAAAATCTCACATTGCAGGGCATGGTGGCCCACATCTTTAATCTCAGCACTTCTGAGGCAGAGGCAAGCAGATCTCTGAGTTTGAGGACAGCCTGGTCTACAGAGCTAGTTTTAGGACAGACAGGGTTAACAGAGAAACTGTCTCAAAAACCACAAGAATTAAAAATAAAATATAATAAAAATAAAAATGAATCTCATAAGGCAAAATACTCAGAAAATATACTTTGCTCAAATAAGCTTTTATTGTACTTTTAAATTACACTCACATATTCTATACTTTCATTTCTCTGTGTGTGTATATGTATGTGTGTGCGTGCATGTGTGGCTGTGTATACACCACGGCACGAGTGTGAAGTGACTGGTTCTTTCCTTCATAGATGGAGGTACTGGGGATCAAACTCAGGTCATCAGGTTGACAGCAGTTTACCCATCAAACTATCTTGCCAGTCCTTGAGAGGTGTGTGTGTGTGCCCGTGAGTGTGGGTATGTCAAGCCATACCAAAGCGTGCTTGTGGAAGTTTGTGGACTTTGGAGTTGGTTCTGGCCTTTAAGCTTGTTGAAGCAGGGTCTCCTGTTCTGCAGATGCCCTGCATTCTCCAGCCTCTACTTCCTCATCTCCCTGCAGGAATTCTGAGATAAAAGAGGCATATTACCCATACGGCTTTTTATGTGGGTTTTGAGGATAAAACTCAGGTCAGGCTTGTATGGTAGTGTTTGTACCCACTGGGCCATCCCCCAGCCTCTGTTCTACACTACTTTCGTAATTACTGTGCAGAAACCATGGAGATATGTGTGTAAAGGTTAGGACCCTGTCCAGTCAGTTGATAGATTGTTCCCACACAACAATAAGGGACTGAAGGACTACATGAATTTCACACGGGCCTTGTGAGCCTTTCTCTCACAGGATGAGGCAGTTGTGAAAGAAAAAGACTTCAACTCTAAGAAGAATAGCAGACTGTGAATACATTTAATAAGGACAGTTTGAACTAGACGATGAAATTAAAGCTGGATTCCTATGCCAAATCTGAATTAGTACACAGAACTGTGGAAACTTTCTGCTGGGTCATAGCTATTCTGTTGTGAACACTACAGATTATATTTCCTTTCTACAAAAGATGTGGAAAGACTACATTTCTTTCACATTATTATGGGTTCCGCATGGTGGTTCTCACACTCCTGTCCAAGAGCCATCACCTCCCTCCCTTTCCATATTAAAGCCACATGTCCCTTTGAACTGACAAGAAAATCTGTAGTCCAGTCTGCAGATGAAGTCTTGAGGAGATCAAACCAAAGAGCCTGCTAATCACCCCGTGCCTTTACAGTGCAAATAATGTTCTGGTGATTTGCTGAGTAAGCCTCTTCATCCAGACACTGCTAGACTTCCAGTCCAGCAAGGCCACTAATGAAAACAGCAAGATCTGTACCAGAGAACATGGAGCAAAGGGAGCAGGGACTGGTGCATAAATGGGACACGGATCAGTTGAAGTGCAAGAGGGAAGAGAGGTCACACTTGCAGAAGGTAGGTGGTACTAACTTAATACATGAAATACAACATAAATCTCTGTCAACAAACTTGCTATGAACGAACGGCTAAAACAAACTACTTTTCTGCTTACATTTTACCTAATATTAAAACTCTGTTGTAAACAGATGTACAGTGGTAAGCACCTATGGTCTCAGCTACTCTGAAGGCCCAGGCAACAGGGTCAAAGTGTTCAACTTGAGCATAGACAACAGTGAAAACCCACCTTGAAAAGAACAGCAACAACAACCAAAAAATGTGATGTGAAATTCTAGATGAAATGTTCCAGTTACCTTTGCAGAATAAATGCTGTTGGAATTAGGAAAATCTGCTTTGAATCATTAGGGAGATTAAATAAAAGTCACCGTGAGTTACTACTTCACATCCTGAGGGTGAAAAGACAGGGACAAACAGGCTGGAGGAACTTGGTGCACACTGCATGTTTATCTCGCACAGAGCCGGGCAGCGACTCAGTGGCAGACTGTATTTATCATGAAGAGCCATGTAGTCAATCACTAGCACAAAACTGAGGTGGGAAGGGTACTGAGAAGAATGTTAAAAAAAAAAATCAGAAGCCTCATATATTGCTTAGGAGAACTGTAAAAACCATTTGGCATTTAAACATCCAACAGTTCTACTCCAACAAAGCTGAAAATACACTTATAAAAACAAAACGCTTATAAAAATGTTTAAAAGTAGCATCATTCAAAATAATCCAAAAGCCTAAACAACCTAAATGTGTAACAACTGATGAGTGAGGGAAACTGTACATCTATAAAGTGGAATATATATAATTATATATAAAGTAGAATATTTGCCAATAACAAGGAATTGGTACAAGTTGAGCCTCCCTAATCCAAAAATTTCAAATCTGAAATGTTCCAAAATCTGAAAATTTCTAAGCACTGACATAATGCCAAAAGTGCAAAATTCAATACCTGAGCTCATGCAATAGGCTACAGTCAAAACACAGGCATATTAAACTACCCTGGGTAAGTGGGTACAATTGTATATGATGACACATAAATCTCATGTTTAGATTTGGGTTCCTTCTCTCAAGTAACTCTATTAGGTGAATTCAAAGATTCTAAGATACAAACAACAACTACAAAAACAAATAAAACTCCCAAATCTGAAATACTTCTGATCCTAAGCATTTTGTTTACATAACCTGCGATACCTACCTAATACAACGGCTTGGAATAGCCTGGATAAATACTGAGTATATTAAATATACTATACAAAGTGGAAGAAGCCATTACAAAGGATATATAAGGTTCAATCCCATTTAGTATTGTAATGTCCATTACTGGCAACAAAGAAACAAATGACCCGCACAAAACCAACCAACCAAACAAAAAAAACCAAACCAACCAAACAAAAAAACCCCACTACCAACAAAACAAACTAGACTAGTTGACAAGTTGGTGGGTGGATATACAGAGCGCTAAAGGCATGCATTTCTTTTCATGGCTATTAAAATGCCCAGGAACTAGGAATGGATGTGCACACCTTTAATCTCAGCACTGGGAAGCAGAGGCAGGTGGATCTATCTATAAGTTTGAGATCAACCTGGTTTTTATTGTCAGGTCAAGGCCAGTTAAGAGTTGTGTAGAGATTTTGTTTCAAAAAAAGAAAAAGAAAAAGAAAACAGGAAAAAAAAAGTGTCCAGTAATTAAACAGTGGTGACTGCTGCATACTTTGGTGACTATAGTAAAGCACCATTGAATTACATACATCCTTTATGAGTTCACAGCTAGAGGTTGGCTCCCAAGTTATAAGCACTGCTTATTCTTCTAGAAGACCTAGGTTCAATTCCTAGAACCCATATGGTAGTTCATAACTGCCTACCACTACAGTCCAAAGGGATTCTGACATTCTGTTCTGGACTCCTTGGGCATGAGATGTGCATGTGGTGCACAGACATACAGGTAGGCAAAACATCCATTCATGTAAGATTTTTAAAAGACAGATGTTTTCATTTAATGAGTATTAACTTTTAATTCCCAGCTGACTGGGAAAGCAGAATACCTCTATATTTCAGGGAAAAGTATAATCTAGTAAAATCAAATTGAAAAATGTTGGCATCGCCAGGCAGTGGTAGAGCACACCTTTAATTCCAGCACTTACTTGGGAGGGAGAGGCAGGCAGATTTCTGAGTTTGAGGCCAGCCTGGTCTACAGAGTGAGTTCCAGGACAGCCAGGGCTACACAGAGAAACCCTGTCTCGAGAAACAAAAACAAAAAAAAAAGTTGGCATCATCTGAGGAAGCTAAACACCCACCCAATGAAGACCCAGCTATTTCAATCTGTAATGTTTGCACACAGTCCTCGACACATGGGTAGAATGTTCAGAGCAGCTCTGTATTTTAACATCAACTAGAAAAAAAGAACCAAACAAAACCCCTAAGTTTACTGCCACTAAAATAAAATAATTTGTGATCTATTCATGAGCTAAAAGGTATGTGTTATAGCTACATTAAATTATACAAAGGAATCTGAAAGGCATAATGTTAAGTCAAAGAACATCAAACCACAGAAGAAAACATCACTCCAGGTAGGTGGCACACTTCTGTCTAATCCTGAGCACTAGGGAAACTGAGACAGGATATTATAAATTCAAGTCTAGTTTGGGGTACAAGTGAGTTTCAGGATAGTCTGAGCTATAGTGAGACAACCAGAAAGATATGATTTTATTTATACATCTCAGAAGGCAAAACAATACATTTCTTTATCCAGCTTGTCATACTTGTTGTTGCCTTTAAAGGAAAACAAATGAATAATAAATAAATCTAAAGCCAGAGTGTGATATATACCTATAATCCTAGCACTTGGGAGGTTGAGGTAAAAAAGTCAAGATGAGAGCTAGGCTGGGCTAACACTGAAGAAATTCAGGGAACTGTTTACATCTGAAGGTGTGGGGAATGACAGGAGGGATGGTGGACATGCAACAACTTTTAACAGTAACACGACTTGCTGCTGTCATGGACTCTGATCCCTCTGTAGCTCTACGCCCAAAATAAATTCTTCTTTCTCTGAGTTGCCTTGCTCATGGTATTTTATCACAGCAATAGAAAATTAAGACATGTCTGCTCTCTGAATTCAGTTCTACTGAAAGATAAATATAGTAAAGCATTTTATTAGAGTGAGGTGAGGTTCACATCTTCTAAAAATCATTGATTTTTGGTTAAAAAAAAGGTCACAAACTTACTATATAAAGTACTAAATAATACTACCTGGTAAAACCAGCATAGAGTCTCTAAACTGCAGCATTCTGTGTGAAGATTTAACAAGTGAGTGTGACATTCAGTCAGGGATGTGTTAGCGTGTGGCCAGCATACCTGTGATATAGCCTTCTAAAGCTTTTGGAACCAGAGATTTTGCGATTTTCAGATCCTCCAGAGAGCATTTGCCTGACTCCAGACCAAAGGACATTCCCATCCGCTTCAGTACCTCTATGTCATCATGGATCTCAAAGGTGTTATCAAAATTAAAAAGGTATTCAAACCTGCAAAATAAAGCAGGGATACAAGGGGTGAGTGAGAAGGCTCAGCAGGTAAGGGTGCCAGACACCGAGCCGGACAACTTGAGTTCAGTTCCCTAGATCACCTGTACATACATACATACATACATACGTACGTATGTGCGCGCGCGCGCGCACACACACACACACACACACACACCACCCCTAAATACACAATCAATTTGTTTTTAAGAAATAAAGGAGGTATGAGGGTTTTGGTGCTAGAGAAACTCTGAAAGGTTTTATAGCCTGTGCTTTGTTTACTTTTTGTGGTACAAGGGAGGAACCCAAAGCCTTGTGATTGCTTGACAAAAGCCTTCTGAGCTATATCCCAGCCTTTTCTGCACTTTAAATAATGGAACAAGAGCCTAAGCTCAGCCACCATAAAGAGCACTTAGATCAATAGCAGAGCAGAGCACATGGTCATTTTCAAGCAAAGCCCTTGTAACCTTTCCAGGTCAGCTGGCCACAGGAGTCCACTGAAGCTCCAGGGATGTTACAAAAGGGGAGAGAGAAACTCTGTCCTAAAGCTAGTACTCTCCAAAGTGGTCTACAGCTTTCTAACTTGGTATGTATCTCTAATAGATTGGTTGATTTGCTTTGAGGGACCTTCTGGATGCTTAATTCATTTTCCTGAGTCACTGGCTAGACATATCATACTTCTGTCAATCACAAAGACTTTTCCTTTAAGACAGGTTGTACTACACTATAGTTTCATCTTCAACTCCTGGACTCAAGGGATCCTTCTAGGTAGCTGGCATTTCAGGCACCTGTGCTAAACATACTTGAATTAAATGAAAGACAATTTTAAGAAACCAAACCCAGTTAAATCCTGTCTTGAGGAGCTAAAGAATAAAGTATCTTAAGCCAGTGTCGCAGGGCTGAGTACACAGGCTGGCTCATGCCTGAAATACCATCACTTGGAAGGCCAAGGCAGGATGATACCTGTGAGTTTAATGCCATCTTAACATTTCATGAGTTCTAGTGCAGCCTAGGCTACAGAGTAAGAATCTGTCACAAACAAATAAAAAGTATCACATAAAAAGTACATAGCACCAATCAAAATTTTCTTGAAAAGTAGTCAGTTCAGATGTTTAGCTATACAGCACAACAATCAAGAAGCAAAGACAGGAACAGCAAACAACAGCTGAAGCTAGATCCCCAGGACATACTGGGGACAGAGCTGACTTCCAGCTCTGGCCTTAAGGCCTAATCTACAGGTCTCAGTTCTGTAGGAACACACATGCTCTAGTGTAGGCTTTGAATAGTAATGAGATTTACCTTGTTGTGGAATTCTCTAGTGAAATCATGTGAAGGTGAGACATACTATATCTTACACCAGGAAAAATCTATAACTTGAAGCAAAATGCTGAAGTGTATGGGTCTGAATAAAATACATTAACAAGCTTAAAGTTCATTTGAAGTGGGTACCTTGCCAGAGGGCAGATTTCAGGTATCACTTGCATGCAGATGGCTTTGTAAACTTAATTTCACTGTGGGAAAGCCTTCTGGCTAATTAAGGGTACAATTGCTTCACAAAGCAGTTGACAGACAAGATTAGTCTACCTCAAACAACAAGCATGTACAAGCTATCCACGAATGGATGCTTGAGTCAAAGCGTGAGTCAGTGACCACCCAAGGCACAGGACTGAAACAGATTCTAGCCCAAATGAGCAGTGCCCATAATCTGCTAAGTTCCTAATTCCTGACACTCTTTATTTTTTAATTTTTATAATTTAAAACTTTTTTGAGACAAGTCTCTTATGCAGCTCTTCTGGTTGGCCAATGTTGACCAACTCCTATCAGTCCTGTGCTCAACATGCTTGGCTGTCAAAGCCCTTCAACCTAAGAAGGTAATTATATATTCCCTTATAAAAGCAGAGACTAACTTTACAAAGTAATTGCAGTGATGTGTTATAGTATGACATTTATAGGTCGCTTCCGAAGACATTAACCATTTTGAAGACTTGTGGTGTTAGGATGTTAGCAGTCCTCCCTGACCTAGGTTTCTGTAGTCGGTGGCTGTGAATAATAATCCTGACATGTAACATTTTACTGGGCTAGATATTGTGTGAATTTATCTCTAGCTTTTATAAGCTGGCAAAGTAAATAACTGATTTTAATTTTTCAGTTCTTGAATTCATTTTTTTTAGGTTTATTTATTTTATGCACATATTAGTACACTGTAGCTGTCTTCAGACATTCAGACACACCAGAAGAAAGCACTGGATCCCATTACATATGGTTGTGAGCCACCACGTGGTTGCTGGGAATTGAACTCAGGACCTCTGGAAGAGCAGTGTTAACCTCTGAGCCATCTCTCCAGCCCCCTAGTTCTTAATTTCTTAAACATTATTTTAGTGTGTGTGTACCATGGAGCACACGTGGAGGTCAATGAACAATTTCTTAGAGTTGGTTATCTCCTCTACTATGTGGGTTTTGAGATTAGACTCAGGTCATTAGGTTTGGCAGCAAACACCTTTATCTACTGAGCCATCTTGCTGGACCAAATTTTTATTTTTGAGAAGGAAAAAAACGAGATCTCAAGAGAGGCTAAGAAATTTAAAGAATGAAAATTGCTGATCCCTAAGAACAGCAGTTCCACTTATAAAATGATGCAATGAACCAGACTGTTTAAAACATCCTCAGAGGGCTGGGGATTAAGAGTGCTGGTCCTCCTCCACCTTGTTCCTGAGTAAATAGAGCTGCATGCAGCAGGCAGGTGGAGGGGCTCCAATCCATGACCAGAATCTGTCTCATCCTCTATGTAACTCTAACTTCCTTAGGAAGGAAGGGAAAGATACAATGAATACTCTACTTTGAAAAGTACTATCTTTTACTTGCTAAAGTGAATGGTGTCAACTATTTAAATTGTTGAAAATATTTTAAAAGGTATATAGACTTATGTGTTGACAAGTGTGTCCTCCTCTGTCACTTTCAACTTATTTTTTTTATGACAAGTTTTCTCACTAAACCTGATGCTTGCTCTCTGAGTTAGGCTGGCTGGCAAGCCCTGGCAAACCTATCTCTGTTAACATTTCCCTCACCCATTATGCCCTACAGCTAGGGATATAGTAAGCATGGTACACCCAGCTTTTATGTAGGTGAGGAGGATCCAAACTCAGGAACCCATGCCTATACAGAAAACACTTTACTCACTGTGCCATCTCCCCAGCCTAAGCCAGGAGTTTAATGTTCACTTAATGAGTAATAAGCAAACACAGCAGGTGCTATGGCACATACTTTTTAATCTCAGCATGTGGGAGGTGGCAGAAGGAAGATGAAGTCAATGAGATCCCTTCTTTATTTAATTTTTTGTTTTGTTTTGAGACAGGGTTTCTCTGTGTAGCCTTGGCTGTCCTGGAACTCACTCTGTAGACCAGGCCTCAAACTCACAGAGATCTGCCTGCCTCTGCCTCCCAAGTGCTGGGATCAAAAGTGTGCACCACTGCCATCAAGCAAGACCCCTTCTTAAAAAAACAAAAATAAATAACAAATAAAAGCTTACTTAAGTATGACACAATACAATGAAACAGTTGGTTTAATGCCACACACTGGTCTGATATATTTTCATAATAACCTATGACCTGTAACTCAGCAATGAACTGATCTCCCCCCGAGCCCTTAGTGATGGTCTTACTTATTGCAGTTACTTGCTCAGTTACCACAAAAGTGTCACTCTCGACAGCTTGGGCCCAGATACCAGCATTCTAGTCACAGGCACACCTGAAATGGAGTAGGGGTCTGTGAAGGATGGAGCTCACTGAAGCTGAAAATGCATTTCACCTACCCCATGGAAGCCATTCTGGAAGGGCTGCACACCGTGGAATGTGCCATCCTTACATGGGAGAACAGTAACAGAAGGCCAGCCCTGTGCCCTCCCCGGCTCCCCACTCACTTGTCACTGGAGATGCTGCAGTCTATGACTGTTTTCCTGCTTGTATTAATGATTATAAATGGCAGCTGAATGGTGGAATTCATTGCTGGAGGGCCCTGGTTTTGTTGTTCATTTTGTCGATTTCTCTGTACCAGGTTTTTAAAAGCAATTTGCTGTAATGTTCAATAAACAAATGAGGTCATTTAAAATATGAAAAAGTGACTTGGAATTTAAATGAATTAACATAATACATTTAAAAAAATCTATTTCAAAACTAGAGTATTTAAACAGGCAGTCCATCTGTACTAGTGAATAAAAAAGTTAAACACGATAAAAGATTACGCCTGGTGGTGGTGGCGCACGCCTTTAACCCCAGCACTTGGGAGGCAGAGATAGGCAGATTTCTGAGTTCGAGGCCAGCCTGGTCTACAGAGTGAGTTCCAGGACAGCCAGAACTACACAGAGAAACCCTGTCTCGAAAAACCATACACATACAAAAAAAATTACAATGATTAGTTCAATAAATATATTTCAAGGGTAAAATACATCTACTGTGTTTATTTCTTTTTCAAGATAGGATTTCTCTGTGTTAACTGTTTTGGCTGTTTTGGAATTCACTTTGTAGACCAGGCTGGCCTCAAATTCACACACAGAGATTCTCCTGCCTCTGCCACCCGAGTGCTTGGATTAAAGACGTGCACCACCACACCCAGAAAAACACATATATTTTGATGATATCTAACTAAGTAACTACTGTGGCCTCTGGTTTCCATCTCCCAGAGAAACAGGCTCTCAGAAATATGGAAAAGCCCAGCAGCACAGGCAATAGTTCTCTTCAGAGTGATCCCAAAGAAGCTTTGATTCGATTCATCACATAGAGCATTCTAAGTGTAGGGTTAGATACACCTCACCTATAGTATTTAGCCTAGAGATGAACACAATTCCTTAAAACCAGAGAATTCTTTTTCAAAATGACAACTGGGACACTCAGACAGAGGCAGCGCCAAGTCTGGCTAGGTGTAGGAGGCTAGGCTCTCAGCCCTTGCCAACTGTGCCCCAATCCCTCCCACAAGTTTCTAAGGTTATGTATCTCAGAGCTTTCTCTCGGGTACCTTAGGATTCAGCCCAGGCCCCTCCTCTACTGAAGCTCGGGGCCTACAGCACACAGCAGGAGCACTCTGCACTGCTCACTCCCTCACACCACGCAACGACGAACAGTCACTACCTGGAGCACCTCAGTCAACACAACTGTATAGTAGGAACTGCAGTGTTTTTTACTCTACAGAGTTTTCTACTCCTATAGACCATATAATCAATTATGGAAAACAAAGACTTGCAATATTTTTCTACCATCATTCCTTGGCATGTAAATATACAATTAGTTTATCTTTGGATTAAATTGTTACAATGCTTGAGTTTAAAAATTGTTGATTGAGTTGGATATAGTGGTGCACATCTTAAATTCCAGCACTTGGGAGGCAGAGGCAGGCAGATTTCTGTGAGTTTCGGGAAGGACAGCCAGAGGCTATGTACAGAGACCCTGTCTCAAAACAGTAACAACAACAAGAAGTTTCTTGACATTAATTCATCGTTAAATTAATTTTGGCTTGCGATTAGGGTGGAATTTTAACAATTTTTCTAATATCCTAAACATATTTCTACCATCCTGTATGACATATTTGTACAAAGCGACATTCTCTGAAATTATAAAATCAAAATGACAATCAACTCTGAAATATGTTGAAGATACTTTCTGACCTGTAGTATCAAATATTTACCAATCTTGCCAAACTTTACCTCTTTTTATTATTATTGTATGTGTGTAAAGGTCATAGGGCACCTCTGGGGAGTTGGTTCTTTCCTTGTACTTCATATGGTAGTCTAGAAACTGAACTCAGTTTGCAAACCTATTAGCCATCATGGTGGCCTCTAATTTTATGTAAAAATAAAGAGCAACATTCATCATCTGTATGTAAATATGCTTTTGTCTTTAATAAATAGTAAATTTATCCTTTAGTAAAGAGTTACTTTGAAATAAAATTTCTTTATGGTTTATTATCAACAAATTTTGATTTGTACACATATATACTCATGTCATATACAGATTCCTCAGATTAGAAGGGGTCACTCAATGGAAAGACCTGAACTAAATCCCATTACCCAGCTTGTGGCCCTCACGTTGTGGGAGAGCCTCAATATATGGAGGAATATAAAACTGTAGATGATGAGAGCAGTTGAAACAATGGTAAATTAGTCTTACTTTTTTTTTTTTTAAATTCTGGAGATTGAACTAAAGGCCCATTCTCACTAGGCAAGAACTCTACCACTGAGCTATATCCCTAACCTAATATTGTTATTTTAGTAGTAAAAATAAAGTTACCTCCCATGCACTGTGGACTGACTTCCTTATTTGTTGCCCTTTTATTGACTCCCTTTGGCTTTTTGTTCTTTTCAGACTCAATATCATCTGTTCCAGAAGCTGAACAGCATTAAGCGTGTTCCTTATGGGAAAGGTTTAAGGCAGGAAAGGTTATGTACATAAAAGTAACATATGAGTTATCTATACGTATAATGGACTCAACTACTTATCTCAATTGTCAGCTTGTGAGAATCACCAGGAGATAGACTTCTGGGCATGCCTGTGTGGGACTGTCTTGATAAAATTAAGTAAGGTGTTATTCTGGTTATTTTCGGTGGCTGTGATAAAATATTATGATCAAAACTGGATGAACTCAACAGGAACTCTGAGGCAGAAACCATGGAAGATTATTTGTTGGCTTGCTTACAGATCCACACTTAGCTTTCTGATATAGCCCCAGACCTCTGGTCCAGGGAATGGTGCCAGCCACAGTGGCCTGGACTCTCCTACATCAATTACCAATCAAGATAATCCCTAACAGACTTGTCGTCTGATCTGGGCAATCCTGTCAACTTGATAGTTAAACCTAACTAGGGCATGTGAGCAGAGTAACTAATAGTTAACTTGTGTCATGAAAAAATGAGCTACAACAGTAAGAAAAACCAAGCCAGTTCAGCTATAACAATTATTGTACAGGGACAATTTATATAACTGATTTCTTATGATTACTCTGTAAATTTCATTTGATACAAGGAATAAAAATAAAACATTGAGAAGAATTAAGTTGTATGTCTACAGAAAACCTGCAGTTACTCAAGTTTTAGTAATAACTTGAGTTTCATTTATAGTCTAAAGCTATCTAATTCTATAATGCACCAGGCTGCCCTCAGATTAAAATCTTCTATAAATGTTTGGCTTGAGAGAAAGCAGAAGGGAAAAAACTAGGACTTACAAATTATGGGCATGTTTCTGGTATAAAGATAAGCAAAGGAAAATATTCAACTTCATTCTTTATGCTAGGCACTGAAACATTTAAAAGCCCTGTCTTATTACTGATTCAGATAGTGTCTCATGGCCTTGAACCTGCTAAATATATGACTATGACTTTGAACTTCTGATTCTCCTGCTTCTACTTCCCAAGTGCTAGGACTATAGGTATGCACCACTGAACCTGGGGTATAAAATGTGGGGGATTACACCGGGCAGTGGTGGCGCACGCCTTTAATCCCAGCACTTGGGAGGCAGAGGCAAGGCGGATTTCTGAGTTTGAGGCCAGCCTGGTCTACAGAGAGAGTTCCAGGACAGCCTGGGCTATAAAGAGAAACCCTGTCTCAAAACAAAACAAAACAAAACAAAACAAAACAAACAAACAAACAAAAAAGTGGGAGACTGAACCCAGAGCTTTTTTCAAGGCAAAAGCTAAGCAAGCACTCTACTAACTACACCCTGTCTGGTAGTCCTGTTGTATTAGGACGTTTCTGTCCAGCACAACTCTCTTTAACACAGAAATAATTACAGCCATGTTCTTAGAACTGATATCCCTTGCAGATGTCCACTAGTTGCACTACAGACTTTTCTGATGATTCTTGAGACAACGGCCATTTTTCCCCTCAATTAGATAACTCTTGCCCCACCAATGGTGGCTTTAGGTCATTCTTCATTGAGGATCTATCCTCTTTGTGACTGATACTCTTCTTGCAAGGAAACAGATGGCAAAGCAAGTATTTTGAGGGATGATAACACTGGGCCTGGGACAAAAGAATAATATGGCCTTATACAATCGGACTACAGGGGAGAAGTGGGAAATGGCAGGAGCTTGAGCCATTGGAGGTGCAGAAATGCCTCTGCCTTGAGCTAGCCCCTTCCTGGGACAGATTAAACAGTACTAACTGTCCTCTGTGAACAGGTTGGAGATGTTCTTCCTGGTGGACTAGGGAATTCAGGTAGGGAAAGAGAAACCACCACCCAAGACTTCTCTGCTTTTCTTCTCTTTCATGTTGCACATAGGATAAAATGGCTGTAAGATTCCTCTGGAAGTCACTATTTGACTGCCTTCACAATGGGCAGAATTAGATTTTCAGACACTTAAGACAGAAAAAAATTCTGATTTTATTAGAAAGCATTGTCCCAATAACTCCTGGATGCTGAAAAAAAAATTCAATGCCTTAGCCAGGTATGGTGGTGCACACCTTTAATCCTAACACTCTGGAGGGAGAGGCAGGTAGATTTCTGAGTTTGAGCCCTGCCTGGTCTACATAGTAAGTTCCAGGGTTACGTAAAGTGACCCTGTCTTTAAAAAAAAAAAAAAGGAAACAGAAAACAAATAAATATAGATGCATCAGGGGAACCTCAATTATAATGCTATCCTTCAACTGGCCCAACTCTGCAAGAGAGGGACAATGACTTAACATTCATCCCTATTCAACTTTCTCTTTTATCTTCAGAACTATCTGAATTGGCCCACAATTATCCTGCTCCCTTGTCAGCCTCTGTGGTTGGTCTGCACCTCTGAAATCAAGAGACTCGATACCCAGCCCTATAACCTCATCACCTGAATCTTGCTGTTGACAACTCAGAACAACACAGCTCACCTAAAAAAACTACGGGCTGGGACCCCTATCATGGACTACTACGCTTTACCTCCTCTGAGTGACTTGTTGCTGGTGCTCTGGCACCCCAGTAGTAAGGCAGATGCACAGCCTGACACCCAAGTCCTCTTTTCTTCAAAACCCAGACATCCTAATTTGGCAGCCCTGGTTCTCTGCTATCCTGCCTATCATACCCTAGAGGAACTCAAGAAGACCACCTTGAGTCTCCTAGCATGGTTCCCTTGCAGGAGATGAGGGGAGAATTTAGACCCACCTATGTTTACAGAGCCTTCTTGTTAGCAGAGCTTAAAAATATCAAAAGGAGAATTAGGTAGTTTCACTGAGAATCTGAGCCAGTGTACACAGACATTGTAGCATCTAAACAGCCTTTATGGCATGGCCTGGAGTTCATGCTCATTTTACACAAGACCTTAACCTTAAAAGAAGAAAGATAAAGGAAAGGGCCAATAGTGGCTGGTAGTGACTACCATATGTTCCAGAGCCAAGATGCACAAGTCCAAGTCCCATAGGAGTTCAGGTGGTCCCTCCAAAGACTCCTGTGGTCATTGGAAGAGAAAGCAATTTATCATACTTGAGAGGATTTAAGGAAAGCGGAGATCAAATCCTCAATTACTATTAGCAAAGGCCATTTGCCAGAGAGAAAGTGAACCTCCTATTATTATTCTCCAGAGAGTAAAGGAGACTATAAGAAAACATACAAATGTAACACTGGAGTCCTTGGAGGACGAGGTCCTCCTGAAAGACAAATTCATCACCCAATCATCCCCAGATATCCATAGAAAACTTCAAAAACTGGAGGCTAAGTGAAGAGCCTGGACCAATCTGTCTACACTACTCTTAGTGTGTTACAGACAGAACCTGGAAAGGGAGCAGTAAAAGGACCAATGACAATAACCTCCTGGCTACTAAGAAAGCTACCATCCTGAAGGACCCCTCCAGAACAGGCTTCTTCCGTGGCCAGCCAGGTTAAGTCTGGAGTTATGTCTTACTCCTACCTCAACCCTTTCCCAACTGCCAAGGCAATTATTGGAGGGCAAGATGGCCCTTGAGGAACAAGAGCTTGGAAGCAGCTTTCCATCTGAACACTGATGGGTCCTCTGGAAACTCCTTTCTCCAGAACCAACTTGAGGAGCCCCATGTAACTTTGTAAGATGGCACACCATGAACTTCCTAGTGGATACAGAAGCCTGAAACTTCATGTTGCCCTTTTCTCCAGGTTGCCAGTTCTAAAAAACAGCCACTTTCTGGGGCGAATTGGGCCAGCTCTGGAGATGTGTTAGTTCCCAGCCTATCAATGGAGAAACCTTCCTTTCCAAAACTCATTCCTCATTTTGCCTCCTCTTTGCGGCAGAAATATTTTCTCTCAGCATGAAATGGGACTTGTTCTGCCTCTGATAGGGAACCTATGTCTGCCTCTGGTGGAAGACAATATACACCTCTTAGTATAGACTAGATGAAGAGACCACAGAGGTCAGGCCACAATGGTTTGCCAGGTCTGATACACCTCAAAGAGCCCACCTTAGGGACAACAAACAGCAAAACTCCTTCATAGTCTGACTTCTGGGTAAGAGTGGATACACAAAAGGAGCTGCTGCACCTGAGGTGGGGACTTGGGAGTTGGGGACATAGTAAAGTGACAGGTGGGCAGTGTGAAGGGCTAAGCATTTAATATCAATGAGCAACAATGGGTAGGGCTGCTGATTTTCTCACAGATACTATCTGATAACACCACAACTACCAATCACACTGCCTTTAGGAGCAAACAAGCAGAGAAAAAGATGTCAACTCTTTACCTGAAGGAGAAGTTCTTGTAGCTGGGCCCGCTTCTGCTTTATCCGTTCTATCCGCCTCTGCTTCTCTATCTTTAAAACATAAGTTATAAAAACAAACAAATCCTTAAATCATTTTTAAAAGATTTATTTTTATTTTATGAGTGTTTATCTCCATGTGTGTCTGTGCACTACATGTGTGCCTGGTATCTGGTTTCCTTGGAAGCCAGAAGAGGGCATTATATCCTCTGGAGTTATAGATGGTTCTAAGCCACCATGTGGGTGTCAGGAACTGAACCCTGGTCCTCTGCAAGAGCAGCAAGTGCTCTCAGCTGCCAAGCCACCTCTCTGGCCCCCAAAGAGAATTTAAAATAAAGTTGTTCTTTTACCCTTTGCTGTTGTGTTTTGAAACATGGTCTCCCTCTGTAGCTTATGCTAGGCTCAAACCCAAAATCCTCTTGCCTACCTCTGCTGCATTTCTTCTTTGATACAAGTAAATCATCTTTCTTGCCTGCTCCAACCACATTTCCTGTTTGCTCCTCTCTACTCTGGTCTATACTAGGAGTCCCTTTTCACAGTTCTACTAACCATTACTACCCTCTTTATTACTTATAAGTTACGTGAACATCTATCTGTGGACACTGCAGTAAGAATAAACAAAGTTATGCCAGTTATGCGCACACCCATCCTTTCTCTAACGTGCCCTTCTGACCTACTTAGCTAAGACCACACCCACTCCTTCTTTCTCTGACCCATTTCCCTCTCCTTCTATCAGATATTTTTTATTTTTTAAAAAACATTTTTTGAGACACAGTGTTACGATGTAACTCAGACATAACAGGATCTTGTAATCCTCCTGCCTACACCTTCCAAGTGCTGGGATTACAGGTACAGACTGTTGGACTCAGCATTCTAAAAATAGCTCCCCACTCTTCCCACATCAGGCCTACATTGCCTAACATCCATACATTAATGTATCACTTCTCTACAACCATATATCTTAGTCACATTTAGCTAGAAGCACACTTTCTTGTGTCTGTCTTGGTCCATGAAATAAATGCCCTATCCACCCTTAAACATTTGACAAACTTCTGTTCCCCCTCCCCTTCTTCCATCCCTTTTTTCATGGGTGTGCCATCTCTGCCTCCTCTGAGATAGAATCTAGAGCTTCATTCACACGTGGCAAGAGCTCTCGAACAGAGTTGGTATCTTGAGCACAGATTAAATCATTTTTTACAACTCTTCTATTTTTCATCTCCTTTATTAAAGCAATTGTTTCTTGGAGTCTTGATTTTAGTGTTAAACTTTGTCTTTTCTGTAGTTAAGGATATGGTAATGTTAGTAGATTTTTGCTTATGATTCTTTAGCATCAGCTGAATATTATTGATAAAATAATTAAAATGCTGTTCAAATTCTAGTTAGGAAGAAGAAAAAGAGAGGGCAGACACTTCTACTGTAGCATATAAAAACACCACCTTCTAGCCTCTGATGAACGTGTCTTTTTTTTTCCTGTCATTGACAATAATAATAATTCTGAAAAAAATTTCTAGGTTAGGTACAGTACAAGAGTACTGAGTAAAACTTGAAACCAACTGTAATTATCTCCAAGAGCCACTCTTTTTTTGTGTGTGTGTGTTTTTGAGACAGGGTTTCTCTGTGTAGTGCTGGCTGTCCTGGAATTCACTCTGTAGACCAGGCTGGCCTCGAACTCAGAAATCCGCCTGCCTCTGCCTCCCAAGTGCTGGGATTAAAGGCATCCGCCACCACTGCCCGGCCCAAGAGCCACTCTTAACCTCAGTTCATATGATCTTAACAGTAAAATTACAACAAGTCAACTCAGGAACAGTGTGACTGAAACACCTTCATTTAAGGATGTAAATTAACCAAGCTAAAATGCTTTTAAACATTGTTCTGGAATTAGTGAAGGCCACATATGACATGATGCTGTCTTGTCACTTAATGACAGTGAGTCAAAGATAGATTTAACTTCCATGGTTATAGTTAGGATACTGAATAAGCAACACAGGAAACAAGCCACCAGCTTGAGCTACTGTTTGGATACATATAGATTTACTTTGCATCAAAATAATTAATCGAGTAAGATTAGATCTGTTAGATGACCTACCAAAAATGCATTGGCGGATACTTAGATTTAAATTAGAATGAAATAAAAATCCTTTCTAAGAAATGACAAAAATGAAACCCATCCATTTAACTTTGTTGTTGTGTTAGTTTTTTTGTTGTTGGTTTGTTTTGAGATAGGGTATACATTCAGTCTAGCTTTGAACCAAACAGTTGAGATATCTTGACCCTTGACCCTCCTCCTACTTCCTAAGTGCCAGGATTAGAGGTATATACCGTCATCACCTTCATGCCAAACCACTCACTGACATTTTCTTCCTTAGTTTTAGGTTTTGTAAAATAAACTGCAAACTGTATCTCCAAAACTCTTCCAATTCAAATTTCCCCACAGATTCTTAAGGTAATGATAGAGTAAAACAAACATGAACAACTAGGAACATTTTAATATCACATAATTATATTTCTGAATGAAAATGTCTTACATGTGAAACAAACAACAACAAAACCCAGCTACTATTCAAGAGCACCCCTACTTACTTCCAGATTTTGGCATTCCTGAGCAGAATTGGTAGGCAGGCCAATCCACTTGATTTCTTTTTTTTCCTTTGAAATTATGTTCATTGCCATTAGCACATTTAAAGCATCATAAACTCTTCGTCTAATGTTCTTCTGATCATAAGCCTGCTAAAAATATTTTTATTAAGTGGTGAATTTTAAAGGTTATCTTTCACATGCTGTTGATATTAATAGTAGTATCTCCCAAGGACTGAAAAATTCTATGCCCAGTGAAAACATCTTCAGAATTTAATATGTAAGGAAGGCACTTGTAAACTTTTTATTTTTTACATTTTTACTTGTGTGTGTATTTGGGGAGGGGCAGTGGACATACGTTGGTGCCATATCGTCCATGTATAGCTCCAAGGACCATGAGTGGAAGCCCAATCTCTTTTTCTATCACATGAAACCTGTGACTGACCTCAGGTCATCAGGCTTGATGATAAAATGCCTTTGCCAGCTGAGGTATCTTACCAGTTCTGAAGACACTTTTCATTTATTTGTCTGTTTATTATTTCAGATTGTTCTGAGGGCTGAACCCTAGGCCTCATGCATGCTAAAAGAGTGTCTTACCGCTGGGTTATATCTCCAGCCCTGAAGACACCTTTAACACAAAATAACCTCAGAAACAAACATTATACTACCACTAGACTGACAAAAATACTAAAGGTACTTCTTTGGGTGGGAGAAGAGTACTAAAAATGGAAACTTGGAGATAGAGAAAACATAAAGATGAGGGTAAATCTCTCAGCTACATAAAAAGTTTTCTTAAGAAGTCTAAGATATATAAAAATTAATATCTATAACAAATGTATACATAGAGAGGTAAAGTATTCAAAGTGCCTGCATTATTTGGAAGATTTTTATACTTTAAAAATATCAAGGGCTAGGGAGATAGCTGAGTGGGTAAAGTGCTTGCTATGAAAGGACGAGAACTGGATCCCCATCACCCATGTAAAAGCCAACTGCAGCATGCATCTGCAACCCCAATACAAGGGTGGTGAAGACAAATGGACCCTAGGTGTTTACTGGCCTCCTAAGCTAGCCAATTATTAGGCTTCAAGTTCAGTGAGGAACCCAGGCTTCATGTGAGGATGCCAGGAATGGCACCACGTCTTTAATCTCAGCACTTGGGAGGCAGAAGCAAGTGGTACTCTATGGGCTCAAGGGCAGTCTGGTCTGCATAGTGATTCCAGACCAGTCAGTCGTGTAAACTGAGACCTTGTTTACAAACAAACAAACAGGAATAAGGTGACAATTGACAGAGCAAGACACCCAGTGTTACCTCTGGTATCTGCACACTCATGGATGAGCCTCCATACACACGTATATAAGACAGACAACACACATATGGACACACACATCAAGGACACATGTTTTGAGGTCCATGAACTGTGCCTCTTACAATATGGTTCATGGACCAGTGCAGACCAGCTGTTTTCAGTCTATGTTCCAAAATATTTCTGTACTCTCTGCACATTGATTAGTTCTGCTAACTTTTCATTTCTTTTGGTAATAAGACTTTTATTGAATGAATAAATTTACAGTGATTTGTATCATGAGGTTCTTATCTTATTGTACATAGGAAGTTCTTAACAAAATCAAATCAATTAAATGTGATGATAAAAGATAGTACGGACCACTGAGCCCATGGAAATATAAAATGAGATAAATCAATAAAAAGTTTAAAGTATGGAACTGAATATAAATATTGTATTCTTGACATTGTAGGCTTCATTTAACACCATTTTCTGGATAAAATCCTAGGATTCTGAACTTTTCTATTTTTGTTTATTTGACATAGGAGTGGAGTCTCACTATGTATCCCAGGTTAGCCTTTTGCTCATTATACTGCAAGTTGGCTTCAATATCCTAAGTGCCCCAAAATTTACATGACCTAATATTATATTTTAAAAATACTGCCAGGCAGTGGTAGCACAAACTTTTAATCCCAGCACTCAGAAGGCAGAGGCAGGCAGATGTCTGAGTTTAAGGCTAGCCTGGTCTACAAAGCGAGTTCCAGGATAGCCAGGCCTACACAGAGAAATCTTGTCTTGAAAAAAGAAAAATGTTTATCTTTGTGGGCTTCTGGCACATACCAGCTGGGTAAACCATTTCCCATGTGTGCTTGATGACCTGAGTTCCATCTCCAGAACTCAGGAAGGAGGGGACTGACCCTTTGACCTCTACATATGTGTCATGGTATGCATGTGCCTACAGATATCACTTCACATACACAAGCATACAAATAAATAGAGAACTCTCAATTAAAGGATTCTCAAGCTCCTGGATTCCTCAGGTCTATGACACAAATCAGTAGGTACACTGAATCCAGGAATCACAGTCTGTTATAACTCATGATCCACCTACCGAATCAGCTGCCAGATGGTTACTTGAATTGGTAAACTCGGACACCAGCTCATCAGCGACTTCATTGTATGATGTCGTGCCTTTACGCTGAACTTTCTCACATACTTTCATTGAAAAATGTCTCAAGCCTTTCCCATTTTTATCTCCTTTTTTGCTTCGTTTACTAGAAGAGAAAAAGACTGATGAAAAAATTCATATTCCATTATACTCAGAGACTTTCTCTATAAAATTATGTAAAAAATAAAACGAGAAGATAATCACTTTGTTTCTGTTTCAAATGAAGAAAATTTAAATTGGATAGAGGAAATGTTTTCAAGTTTAATTTTTGTCTTAAGAGCTTAACAATACATAGAATGATTTTTCTATAATGTCATTCATTTAGTAAGCAAGTATTGACAAATTACTGCTATATGCCAGTGATTATTAGACACCGGAAATAAATCTGTGAAAAGTTATAATAACTCTACCTCCTAGAGATTATGTGTTAGCTAATACTTTTCTTTGACAGTAAAACTATCACTATCTCAGTACTTACCCATTAAAACTTGAGGGGTCAGTTTAGTTCTAAACATATATGAACATCAAGTATAAGTATGAACGATTTTAGGGGCCAGAAGTATAAAAATGCAGGTGAAATTCTTTCCCTCAATGAGTCTTAGAGCATGATGATAAAACACATGTAGCGGCAGATAATGGGAGAGGTTAGAGTGCCAGCCACAGTTACTGGGAAGTGTGACGATGAACAGCTATTCTAACATACAGGAACAGGACTTGTGGGAGAGTCATCAACACTGAGTAAAGGCCAAAGGGAGGACATGATGAGAGTCTTGGTCAGGAGAAGCAGCAGAAATACAGCATAGAGAAAACAGATAACAGAGGAAATATTGAAGACAAGCAGGGCGGAGTCGGCCAGTATAGCATGCCAAGGCGAGCCATGACACACATGATGAAGACCAGGCTGTGCCTTAACAACAAGGCAAACAAATCTGACTTCATCTGATCATGTTTATCAGCATAATCGAACTTACTAACAAATTACTTACAGGGTCTGTCTGTGTTATGTATAACAAAGGCACTAACCATGCTCTTTCAAAAGGACATCTTCCTACACTTCCCTCACTCCAGCTGTCAACTTGACTACATCTAGAATTAACCGAAGCCCAAGCTGTTAGGTTTCTTTTTTAAATTTTTATTTCTTTTCTTTTTTCAAAAAGATTTATTTATTTATTTATTTATTTATTTATTTATTTAATATATAATAGTACACTGTAGCTGTCTTCAGACACACCAGTAAAGGGCACCAGATCCCATTACAGATAGTTATGAGCCACCATGTGGTTGCTGGGAATTGAACTCAGGACCTCTGGAAGAGCAGTCAATGCTCTTAACTGCTGAGCCACCTCTCTAGCTCTTAATTTTTATTTCTTGAGACAGGGTCTCACTCTGTATCTCTGGCTAGTTTGGAACTCACTACATAAAAAATGCTAACCTCAAACTCATAAAGATTCAGTTGCATCTGCCTTCAGATTTTCTTTCCCTCCCTCCTTCTCTCCCTCCTTCTCTTTATTTTGATTTTTTGAAACAGAGATTCTCTGTGTAACGTCTGGGTGTCCCAAAACTTACTCTGTATATCAGACATGCTTTGAACTCAAGAAATCCACCTGCTTCTGCCTCCCAAGTGCTGAGATTAAAGGTATGTGCCCACCTTGTCCAGCTCCTTCAGATTTTCTTAGACTATTTGAAACAGAGATTCACCTTAATTCTCAGGCACATCTTCTGGTGTCAGCCCAGATAAAGGACATGGAAGAAGGAAGCTCTGCCTTTTGCCTGCTTGTCCTTGTTTTCACTGGCAAGATCATCTGTCCTATGGCTGAGACATTCCTTCAATAGTTTTAGATCCAATTCCTTCAGACTTCAACATACACCAAAGATCAGTAGTTCTACAGGAATCTTCCAGAACTACAGCTCCAGACTGGAAATGCTGAGACATCCAGGCTCATAGACTGAATTACTATGGGCTTCTTGGCTTTTTCCACTATGAAACAGTCATTGCTGGACTACCCAGACAGACTACATCCTATAAACCAGTCTAAATTGCCTTTTAGTGTGTGTGTGTGTGTGTGTGTGTGTGTGTGTATGTGTATGTGTATTCATTCTAGTAGTTATGTTCCTTTAGAGAACCCTGATGAATACAATTAGGAAAGAATCATTAATGCATCCCAGACTCAGAGGCTACTTTTAAAATACAGTGAAACCACTAAGTGGTTTTTGAGTTGCACAGTGAGATACAGATTTAGGCAGAAATTCTTATGTTAAAGTGGAAGGTGAATTTATGGGGAAATAGGAGGTGAAAGAAAAGTCAGCTAAGAAGTTACTACGACAGCTGAGGTGATGACATGGAACTGGGTTAGTGGAAGGGAAGAGGAACAGACAGAACTGCAAAACTTGAAAGGCAAAAAGTAGTAAAACTAAGCATCTGATTGATATGGAAAGAAACAGAGAAACAGCAAAGTCTGAATTGAGTGTTTAGGTAGGTACACTCTGAGGGGCTGGTGAGAAGGCTCAATAGATAAAGGTGTTTGTCTCCAAGTCTAATGATCCCAGTTAGACCTGGAACCCAAACAGAGGAAAGGAACTGATTCCATTAAATTGTCCCCTGACTTACATAATTGTTCAGTGGCATATGTGCACCAACACTGATAAACACAAAATCAATCAATCAATATAATTTTGAAAATGTTAGGGCTAGAGAGATGACTCAGTAGTTAAAAACACATGCTGTTCTTACAGAAGACCAGAGCCAACCCAACTCTAGGTCCAGGAGATCCAATGCTCTCTCTCTCTCTGACCTTTGAGAGCACCCACATGTATGTGACACATAAGTGTACACACACACACCCCCCCAAACCCTTGTTAATTGCCAAGCATGATGACACATACCTGTAATACTAACACTTGGGAGGCTCAAAAGAAAAACAAAAGAAAACAAACAAAAAAAACCCAAAACACACAAAGCCACCAATAAAATAGCTCCCCCCAAAACCCTTATTTCATTAAGTAGGAGTGTGTGTGTGTGTTGTGTGTGTGAACACACTTATGTGTGACACATAATATGGTACCTAGTACAGTAGTTTGAACTTAGGCTCATATAAAGGCTCTAAGCCAATAGTTCTTCCCCCTTCACACACTCCCACCCCTCAGTGCTGGGAACAGATCTAGGCCTAATTAACACCACACAGTGCTGTACCACTAAGCCATATTCCTAGCTTTTAAACCGACAGTCCTTAATGCCTTTAAGTCAGAGGTAACTGACTTGAAGAGACATTTATACTTGTTTAAGAGATACCATAGTGCTTCTGATATACAATCAGAAAGGAGAACCACTGTACTAATATTCTAAGAAAAGATGACCTCACACTCTGAAAAGTGTCTACAGAAATAAGCGTTTGCTATGATCTAGAACTATTTAAAAACAAAACAAAACTAACTAAAAAAAAAAGCCAACAATTGTTTAAAAGTTTGGGCAAGTTAGGGTAATATGGAGTGTACTCACTTTGGAAGAACACTGCCTTTCCCAAAAGGAGGGAGGAGCCTAAATGACAAATGTCACAACTGAGACTGAAAACAAGTGAACTGAAAAACCTCAATGAAGAATGAAATAATGGTAGGAACTAAATAAAGCTAAAGTTACGCAAAGCAAATTCCCCTCTTCCATAGTGGAATAGAAACAAAGCACACTTTTACTCACCTTTCTGAAAAATCAGAGTCTATAAATTCTCTAGCTCGTTTTCTATCACTAAAAAGACAAAAAGATAGCTTAAGCACAACACATAAACACAACTCTATTTCTTAAATAATTTATTATAACTGTCTCACTCTACACTGAATATACACAAAAGAAAACTTATTTTTACAATGATACAAAGACATGACAATATAATAATCCAAAATTGGAATAAGTTCAGTGAATACTTGGGGAGAAAAACAGTATAGATTTACAAATTAAGTTTTACAAAACTGTTTTGTCTTCATAGCATATGAATGTATGTCTGTCAATTTGTATATGGCATAAAGCATAAAGCACTTGACAGGGCTGTTACTGCATTAGCTTATGAATCCTTGAAGCAAGGTCAATTTTACTGTTTGTTTGCTCCATATTCACACAGGCTAGAACCCAAGCAGTATGTCACCAAGTATAGAACTCAAGTAATAAAACTTCAAAAGCGATAAAAATAAGGTTTGGAGTATTATTTTAATATTTTCCTTTTGTCTTTTTAATATTTATGTATGTGTGTATGTCTATGTGTGTCTAAGCCACACGTATGTGGGTGCCCACAGAGGCTAGAAGGTGGTGTCGGATGTGTTGGAGATAGGTTGTTATTAGCTATCTGATGTGGGTGCTAGGAACCAACTGTTTCTTTGTAAGAACAAGTGTTCTTAAGTACTGAGCCTTTTCTTCAGCTTTTGCTTTTTTTTCTTGCATGCTTACGCTCTGCCCCACAGAACTCCACCTCTGTGAGACAAGGTTTTCCTGTGTAACCCAGGCTGCCCTTGAACTCTCTGATCATCTTGCCTCAGCCTCTCCAGTACTGGGGTTACTGTAATGCAATCCTGTTAATTACCTTTTACAGAAGATGGGGTGCCAAGATAACAGAGGAGAAAGGCTAGCAAAAAGCATTTCATAAACGAAGATGAAAAAGGGTTTGACAGTAATGGTGGTAAAATGGTAACAAAAGGGATACTGCCTAAGTATTTATTAAAAAAAAAAAATCAAGGGAAGTTTTCATGAAAATGTTAATACCTTTGTCCTCTCTTCCTAGTTTCTTTTCTGATTTTTAGAAAAGCTGAAGGAAGTCTTATGAGTAAAGTCAACTTAACACAAGTCCTTTCTTATGTGTCAAAACAATGTAAAATTAGTTCTTATGTCTCCAAAGCAGCTAAGTATTATAATCATAAAAGTAGTCCTATTTCAGAATTTTAAAGTTAGGAGATCTAGTTATAAGTTAAATTGTTTTTCTCATCTTAAATATAGTTTTACTCAATGAACATGGCGGTCCCTGCCTATGGGCAACTCCAGGTTGGAGGCAAGCCTGGGCTATATATATACTGAGCCCAATTGTAATTGGTGATTTTAAAGCAATATATTAGTTTCTAAAGATCTAAACTAGCTGGGTATTGTAGCAAATAACTGTAATCTCGATATTCAAGGGGCTGAGGCAGAAGGGTCACTAAGAGTTCAATACCAGTCAGACTATGTATCAAGTAACCCAGGTTAGCCAGGGTTATATCCCAAAATTCTGTCTCAAACAACAAAAACCAGTGAACTCCCAGTAACCTGTAATCCCAGCACTCAGAAGGTACAGGTGGTCTGACCAAGATCCCATCTTAAGACCTCCCAAAACAAAATAAATAAACCTCCCTCCCCAAAGCAACCAATAGAACTAGATGAACAAAACAAGACAATACAGGGCTGGGGAAATGGCTCAGGGTATAAGACACATGCAAGCCCGCGGACCAGACCCTAGCTCACACATGAAAGGGCGATCTGCCTATAATCCCAGCATTTACTCAGGAGGCCTTTACTTAGGGGATTATTGGAGTAAAATGGCGAGGTAGATTAGCCAAATCAGCAAGGTTTGGCTTCAACAAAAAAACCTCTCCTCAGTAAATAAAATGTCGAATGATCAAGGTAGACATCCTATGCCAACCTCTGGCCTCCATATGTATATACGCACATACATGTATATTCACAAATACATATGCTAATGTAAACATGAACATGTACATCACACATACAGACACAAAAATTTGAGAAAGGAACTTCTGGAGAGACAGCTCTGCTGTTAAGAGTCCATGCTGATCTCTTAGGGGACTGCAGTTCCTTAGCTTACTGCATCTGCATTGGGTGGATCACAAGTGCCTGCAACTCCAGTTCCAGGGGGCCAATGATCTTTCCTGGACTCAACGGGCACTTGCACCCTTAGTCACATACTCTATCCTATACACACATATACATAACTAAAAATCTTTGGGCTGATGAGATGACAGATAGAGGTACCTACTATCAAAATGGAGAAACTAAATTTGATCTCTAGGACTCACACAATGGAAAGAGACTGACTCCCAAAGTTCTCTAACTTCCACACACACGCCATGGCATTATGTGCACACATTTGTAAAATAAATAATGTAAAATGTAAAAAGAAAAAGGTAGGAAGAAGACAGGAAGATAGTAAGGGGGTGGGAGGCTTAGAAACAGTAATTTCTGACACTCTTACCTGGGAACCCAGCCAGCAGCCTCAGCTATGTGAGTCTGAGTGACCATTGCTGGTGCAGGGGTATATGGACTCCCAATCAGAACACTTCCTGAATTGGTGATTCTCTGTGGTGTGCTTATAATCTGTAAAGTTGGTAACAAGAAAATAAAATTTAAGTATTCATGCCTTTAATTGCAGCCCTGGGGAGGCAGAGGCAGGAGGATTTCTGTGACCTTGAGGCTAGTCTGATCTACTATATACAGAGTTCCAGGCCAGCTAGGGCTATATAGTGAGACACTGTCTCAAATAAATAAGCATATATTTTTAAAAGGCAACTTTTAATTTAACTTTTAAAAAAGGAAGGGGGAGCTGGAGATGGCAGTTAAAAGCATTAGCTGCTCTTCCAGGGGACCTGGTTTTGATTCTCCACACCAACATGGGGATGGCAGTTCACAACCATCTGTAATTCCAATTCCAGGGGATCCAATGCCTCTTCTGGGCTCTTTAGCCATCAGGTAAACACATGGTGCATAGACACAAATGCAGGTAAGAGAAGAGATCCATACGATAGACAGACAGACAGACAGACAGACAGACAGACAGACAGAAAGAATGCTGTTGGCTAACACATGGGAAGGAAGTGCTATCAACAGCTCTTAATGATGATCATCTAAGCACTCACTAGTACCTTTGATTTATTTCTATCCTAGAATCTTAAAACACCAGTATCCTGATTCCTGACATGATGTCACAGTGTAGATTCAAGTAAGTAAACAGCAATTCAGAAGGATTAACCCAGCAACTGACAATTTCTTACCATCAGAAAAACGAGAAGCTTTTTTCCTATGTGGTAAGCACTTTGAGAGCTGGAGAGATGACTTCTTGGTTAAGAGAGCTTGCTGTGTAACTATAAGGGCAGGAGTTTGAATCCCATCAAATAACAAGCTGGGCATACTATACATACCGGTAACCCCAGCTCTGATGGAATTAGAGATAGAGGAATTGTAAGGGCTTCCAGTGTACCTGAAAATATGCATGCTCTAAGTTCAGGGAGATGCTCTGCATCATACATTCAAATAGGCAGAAAGTATACAGTAAGGTAACTAACACACGCTTCTGGCCTTCAAGTACTCATGTGTATAACACACTGGTACATAAATCAATTTTTAATCCGAGTACTTGAGAGGCAGAAGTAAGAGGATCTGAGCAAGTTTGAAGCCAACTAGGGCCACCAAATGAGACACTATTAAAAGCAAGCAAACAAAACCTCCAGCCAGTACCCCTGAGAAAAAGGGAAATAAAAGCTTTATTTGAAATTAAGTCTACAAACTGTAGTAGAGCCTGATTTATGTGGCCTAGGACAACAGTGAATTAGATCTTCAGAACCCAATATACATACAAAAACACTATATAACCTGGATTGTTATACAACGCAAAAACTAGCTCCCTGAAAAAGCTAAACTTCTGTAGACTGACTTGAACTTCAGAGTTTCATGTCAGTGGAGAGGTAGAATGTTACAGGTGGAGAGAGAGCCAGAATGATAGTGGAGTATCTTCTGTTCATTCATCTATCATTTGTCATCAACCTCTGTATCTGGCTGAACACCCCTTTTGGAATACATCAACTTGGCAAACTAGCTGTAACTAAGCCAAAAGCTAAGAATGTCATCCGATAGCAACTAAGACTTTCAGCAGTTTTTCTTATTTTGTTGTAACCTGTGTACTTGATGTCCTTAGGAATCAATGTATTGGCTGATAACTATCTTTGTTCTGGGACTAACAAGAATCCATGTAACTACTTCTACAGGGGAACATGGCATTTGGAATAACTTGAATCTATATTCTCAAGTTATAGGCCACTTGTATTTGTCTCAAAATAAACTTTCTCATTTCCTTTGAAACGAGAGTTTTATTTTGTATTGACAAATGTAATTCCATCTTCAATTTTCCCCCTCTCAACTTTACCTCATACTACTATTAAATAAAGTATTTTGGTCAAGTACAGTGGCATATGCTTATCATTGTAGCACTTAAGAGTTAGACAAAAGAGGATTACCAAAAGTTCAAGGTCAGCCTGGTCTACCTACATAGCAAGTCAAACTATTCTGGGCTACTCAGTGTATCAAAAAATGACATACATACATACATACATACATACATACATACATACATACATAAACTGAGGCTGGGGATGTAGCTCAATTTAGGTAGAGTACTTGCTTAGCGTGCATAACATTCTAGGTTTGAGCCCTACTAATTTCAGTAGCTCATATGCTGGATATGATGTCCCATACTTGTAATCCTAGCATTTGGAAGGGGGCAGCTGGAGGGGACCAGAAATTCAATGTCATTCCTGGCTACAAAGGAAGCTTGAGGACACCCTAGGCCACAAGATCATCTTAAAATACATCAAACATTGTAGCATGTGGGTTTAATATCTTTAATTATTGATATAAATGGATTTAAAAGTATTTGCTTAAAGATAATTATTGAACTCCTGACCTTCCTGTTTCTACCTACCAAGTGCTGGTAGGCTACTTACTGTGCACCTCGTATTTCATCTATTTTTTTCAGATATTAAGTTAAAAACTTGGAATATATTAATTTAGTACCTCACTAGCATCCACCAATCCCACAAAGAGTGTCATCAGGTAGCATCTGAAACCTATAGCAGAATCCCCTGCTAGCTAATGTTCCCACTCCTATCAATGTATCTGTTGACTATAAAAGTTCACAGAATTTCTTCCATGCTGAAACAGGCGGTGAAATAAATCATATTCCTACACTATGGTTACTTATATGTAGAAAAAATTTCCCAAGTAATGTGTGGAAGCATCACCTGTCAATAGAAATCTGATGGCCAATGAGCTGAGGCAGGATTAGAAGGTGGGACATCTAGCAGAGATAGGACCTCTGGGAAAGGGTCAAGGGGGGAGGGTGACAAAACTGAGGAGAGGTAATTAGCCATGTGGCAGACAGAGACTAGAATAAATGAGTTTTATATAAGTTATAAGCTAGTCAGAAAATAAGCCAAAGCTTATGGCCTAGACATTTATTCATGAATAAAAAAGTCTCAGAGTCATTATTCTGGACTCAAAGAGGCTAGGTAGGAAAGCCCACAGTTACAAATGGTGTCTAACATACGAACTTCTTAGAATCTGGACTTAGAGCCTGAGAAAAACCCCTGTGTTCCCACACACCTCCCAGAGCAGTTTCTTAGCCTGCGAAGTTCTTTTAAGAGGAGGCCCATGAGCTAACTCAGCTGGTGAATACTGGAGCTGAGCTTTGGTTTCTCTTCTACTGGAGCCTCAGAGCATCTCCCAAGCACAACAGGGTTCCAGAGAAGACTGGAAAGCATGCTAGAGAGAGCTAGGTGGTCTATGGGAAAAAACACAGCCCAGTTTAGGCCTACTCGTGAAAAGCCTACAGCAGTCTGGAGTTGGGCAGAGAGAGACTAACCAATGGGGGTGGGGGGATGGGAGGTAGGGGTGGGGGGATGGGAGGTGGGGGTGGGGGTGTGGGGGTGTGGAACAAAAGCCAACAGCCAATGCAACGAGCTAGCTGAGTGGCTGGGAGACTTGACAGACACCAGCTACAGACACATGGAAACAAGAGAGAAAAACTGAAGACTCTACAGACTTTGTAAGATACTTGGGAGGTCCTTAAGAAAAGAGTTAGAAATTAAAAAGAAAAACATCTCCTGTGTTAAAAAATGGAAAATGCTAGCCGGGCAGTGGTGGTGCATGCCTTTAATCCCAGCACTTGGGAGGCAGAGGCAGGCGGATTTCTGAGTTCGAGGCTAGCATGGTCTACAGAGTGAGTTCCAGGACAGCCTGGGCTATACAGAGAAACCCTGTCTCGAAAAAAACAAAAAACAAAAAAAACCCACTAACACAAACAAAAATATTCAAACCAATCTTAAAAGAAAAAAAAAGAAAAAAAAAAAGAAAAAGGATCTTTGGAGGAATCCAATCTAAAGCCTACAACGCCACCTTGTGTCAAGATTGCAGAATGGAAACGAATCAAATTCCTAAATAAAGAGACTTTATGTTAAGAATAAAGACTCTGTTCAACAATGCTACCACAGAACAATGTCATACAATAGATTATGTGTTTCATTTTGTAGAGTTTGGAGAATTAATATATGTATACATTTTAATACACCATACAATCGATACTCAAGATTTCGATACGTTTCTGCCTTGAACTCTAAAAAGGCTGATTCTTACATTGCACATTTATTAGAGATGGTGGCTGTCCTGGAAATGCCTTTACAGATTGAAGCTGATGATGCTTAAACATATGTATCCATAAGAATACAATATTTTAGACATTATGGCATAAAACATGTTACTGGCATATCTCATAATCCTACAGGTCAGACAATTGTGAAAGGATTTAGCTATACTTCAAAGGAGTAAAACACAACAGCTGCTGAAGAGACACTGGGTTATGGGGGAAAGCGACTGAAATAAACCAGCCTGTATATTGTAAGGATGTCTTAAATGGAAAGTAGAAAATGTGTTACATTAGAGAAGAGGTTTTGCCTTTGTTTTAACAGAAGACAAGCTAGGGATTCCATCATAATAAAGATTAGATTTGACAGGGTGAGACCTCCTGAAGATCTAGACTACAGACAGGCATGATGGGAGAAACCAAGAACAGAACAGTAAAGTATGTGTTGATCCCTCTACAGGGAAACATTTCTGAGACTGGCTGAGACATGAAAGTGTCTCTGCAGAGCCAATAGATCTTGTTGGCTACAGATTCTTCAGGAATTATTTAGTATTATTACATCCCATCCTTCAAATGGCATGGATGAAAATTTATATTACAGGTTGGTTATATAGTCCAAACTAATTTCTGCCTAATCAAACAGAATCACCTTTAACTGAACTGTATACACTACACATTCTAAACATGTATCAATGCAAAAATGTATATTACAGTTAAAAGCTTATATGTTCACAGAGAAAAACAACCAAACACCAGTGAAGTTAGAGCAGCCCTGACAAGATCCACCCTCGAAGATGCTGAGGAGGATGCTTAGACATACTTATTCCAACATCCTGCTAGTTCCAGCCTCACCGACTGTTCAGTCAGGACTTCATTTAAGCCTTGCCCTTTCCCATCACAGAGAGACTGGACAACAAATGCTACAGCTAGCCTTCTTGAGACTGGCCATATCCCAATTTTGTATGGACTCCTAAAAGGGGATGACACCCCAGACAGCAGGAAGCAATTTCAAGAGAATGATGTCCCATTCCCAAAAAGTGATGTGGGTGGATTTTGGTTACTCAGTGGGAGAACTGTTAATGGTCTTGGCCAGGGAGATTAGATTCAGGGGTTTCTCTGTTTCTTTCCTCTATCCTTCTTTCTCTCCTATCTAGTGTTAGAGAAGGGGGGTGGGGTGGGGGGAGAAGGCATGAGAAAAGGGGGCGGAGGGAAACAGGAATAATAGGATAAAAGGGTAGATTGTTGAATCTACTTTTAGACCAAAGAATATTAACAAACCAAATATTTAACATTTGGTTTGGACTCTATATATTGATACAGATTAAGACTATATTTTGTTATAACATACTATGAATATATTTCAACTCATGTTTAAAGTATTGTACCTATGCAATTCTAATATTAAGTTCTAGTCCTTTAAAGCTGCTGTTCATGTTAATTAAGAAATCCAAGTTAATAGTCCATCATGTTAGGTACAAACTTAGTTAATTACAGAAATAAGCTTCCTTTAGATGTTTCAAGCAGATAGTATAGTCAGAAACTAGCAATTCAAATATACTATAGATAAATAGATTGTTTTGAAAAACCTCAGAGATCTACACAGTATGGAATTTAAAGATGTTTTATTAATAAAGGGCTTTTCATGACAATGACATGTCAGCTTCTGGCAACATCCCATTCTGCTTCCAAGAGAATGGTGAACACAGAAGAAGCTCCTTATAGAACTTGCTTCAAATGCAGCCAGCTGGTCACTGGGCACTTTCTCAACTGGAGACAGAATGCTGTCCAAACTAGACATAGGAAAGTTGACTGCTGAGCTTTGCAAACACAATGTAGACAAGTCCTTCATAAACCCCGCGTCACAGAAAAGTCTGTGAAGATATTCTGGGCCAGAAGGCCAAAGGTGATACTCTAACAACACAGAGCAACCTTGGTGGACTGTCCAGGTCTGCTATTTCTATAGTTTTGGAAGCTGCCTGCTCTGTAGTTCCTTTTTACTCAGGTAATATTTATCCTTCTCAGGTCTCTGATAAGATTAAAGACTAATTAGTTATAGTCTCACAACTAAGCTTAAGTTATTTAGGATTTAAAAAAAAAGTTTTAAGGTCCAAAAAATTATTTATAGGGTGATAAATGCAAGTTACGATAGAAAGTGATTTAGGTACAGAATTTTGGATTTAACAAGATAGGATAGATAGTAGAGTACTTTCTCCAAAGGTGCCAAATGCATACAGACTGGACATTGTGAATGTAATTCTGACCTGATGGTTTTCATGATTGGTCGTATTGTATATAAGGAACCTTTTATTAGACTAAAAGGGGAGGTGTAAAGAGAATGTACTGTGTGGAAGCATCACTTGTCAATAAAAATCTCATGGTCAATGATCTGAGGCAGGATTAGAAGGTGGGACATCTGGCAGAGAAAGAAAGGAATTCTGGGAAATGATCAAGAGTGGGTGATTTCACCAGACTAGGAGGAGACGGATGAACGAAACTGAGGAGAGGTAACTAGTCATTATGGCATAGACTAGAATAAACAAGTTATGTTAAGTCACAAGTTAGTCAGGGAACAAGCCAAAGGTTATGGTTTAGACATTTACTCACAAATAATTAAGTCTCACAGTTGTTATTCTGGAAACAAAGAGGTCCGGTAGAAAAGCCCGCAGTTTTCAAAATAAAATCTTCAAAATAAAATTTTGAGGTGGCAGCTATATTTTGTGTCAACTTGTGTAACTAAAACTTCTTTCTAGGACTTATAAGTTTCACTGGTAAAAAAACATATTTTTTTAGCAAAAGATAAAATAATATAGAACATCTGCTATTATGTAATTTTTAAAAAAGGTCTTTTTCTGTCTTTGCATAGATTTTTGTTTCCTTCCTTCCATCCTTCCCCCCTCCCCTATCCAGCATAACCTTGGACATTTGGATACCTGGTCCTCGGGTGTTGTTGTTAGGAGATGAGGCCTTGCTGGAAGGAGTATGGCAGTGGGGATAGGCTTTGAGAGTCTGAAGATTCCAGGCACTCCCAGTTCACTCTTTGCTTCGTGCCTGTGGTTCAAGATGGGACCTCTCAGCTTGCTGCTCTAGTTTCCCCACCATGAAGGATTCTTAGTTCTCTGCAGTCATAAATCCAAATAAACTTTCTCTATACTTGTGGTGTCTATTAAAACAATAGAAACATAACTTTTCTTTTTTTTAAATTAGTGTGTGGTGCACACGTGGAGGTCAGACAACTTGTGGAAATCACTTTTTCATTTCTATCATGTGGGTCTAGGCACTGAATTCAGGCCATCAGATTTGGTGATAGATGCTGAGCCATCTCATGAGACCATGAGAGAACTGTTAATAATAATTTAAAAAGAAAAGAAAGAAAAGGAAGGAAAAGGCAAAAGAAAGCCAGGTGTGGTGGTGCACACTTGTAATCTCAGCACTAAGGGGATAGAGACAGGAGACTCCTCCACATGTTCAAGGCATCATTCATGTATGTAGCAAGTATCAAACCAGCAGAGCTACACAGTGAGGCCCTGTCTCAAAAAATGCATGCTCTAGTGAGTGGGAGTTTGATGGGAAAAGACTGGTCCTTTCTGGATAACTGACACAGCAGATACTAAGCTCCCAAGAATGCTATTTTCATAAAAATTTGAAAACTAGAAAGATTTTGGTAAAGTCTCAATAAAAAAATTAATCAGTACAGACTGTATACAAAAGAAATAATTAAAACTACAATAGAAAATAGAAATATCACATAGACACACACATATACAACCTAAATTCTATAAATTTTTAAAATAAAGAAAAAACAATAAAAAAGAATACTAAGGTATTGTGCTTCATGAGAAAACATGAAATTGACCATGTTTGTTTCTCTCATGTTCATAACACCAGTCCACACAACTCGCCTCCCTGCCTCCGTTTATTTCAGTGTAACACCTCAACTGGTAGAGAATGTGTCTATGCCACATTTTTCTGCAGGGTCTATATAATACCAAGAGACACCCACAGAAGAGCTAGAAGTGGTGGTTCAAATTTGTAATTCTAGCGCTTGGAAGGCAGAGAAACAGATCTCTGTGAGTTTAAGGCCATCCTACTCTATAGACTGAATTCTAGGCCAGCCAAGGGCAACACAATGAGACCCTGTCTCACAAAACAAAACACTGTAACAGGAAGAACATAGTTCTTACTAATTATATCATACATCAAAATGTTCTCTATCAAGCAGAATTTGGGTATGGACAGCTTAGAGAGAGCATTTGCCTAGCAAGCATAAGATCATAGATTTAATTTCCCTAAATTTAATTTACCTGGGTGTGGGGGATCAAATACTGACAGAAGGAAACTGGAGCATTTCATCAGCCTATCTACTACCCTATTCCTATAAGAGGACTCTTCACAAAACTATCCTAAGGTCTCTACGTTTCACTTGTACAGTATTATTACTAAAGAATTCTTTTCTGTTATTGGCAGCCTGGAGCTTAGTATTACTGACATAAAAGACTTTGAAAGAGGATAAGAAAAAAAGCATAAGAAAAAACGTTTTTTCTTTATTGAGAATAACTCTGGAAAGAAATTACTAAATTTTATTTTGCCTTTTCTTTTGCTTCTCAATATCAAATTGTCACATTCTACACAGCAGTTTCTTAACATGTTCTACCTCCCCCCCCACCCCCCGCACGCACGCACGCACGCACGCAAGCTTTCTCTATGCAGCCCTGACTGGAATTTGCTATGTAGGCCAGGCTAGTTTCCAACTCACAGAGATCTGTCTGCCTCTGCTCACATGTCCTGAGATCTTAACATTTCCTGAGTGAACAAACTGGAGAGATTTAATCTGTAGATTAGATTCTGTAATGTAATAGAAAAGAATTTGTATTGCAAATTCAAAACGCATATTCTTTTAAACTAGGATAATAGCAATGATTATTAAGAAACAAAACAAATGCTGGGAATGCTGCTACACACATTCAATCCCAACACTAGAGGCACAGGCAGGGAGGATCTCTGTGAGTTCAAGGCAGTCTGGTCTACACACTGGGACTCTGTCTCAAAACCAAAACAAAAGAAAACATAGACAGACATGGATGTACAACACCTGCATACCAGCTGCATAGGAGGCTAAGGCAGGGGAATTGCTACAGCTCAGGAATTCCAAGCAAGCCTGGGTAATAGAACAACACACCATCTCAAAAAATGCTGCCCAGATCATTACTTACTGTTGCCCCCAATCTTAAGAATTAACGCAACTGGGGCCTAGAAAGAGAGAGCATTGGTGAAGAACACTGGCAGCTCTATGAGGGGACCTAGGGTTCAATTCTCAGCACCCACAGGACAGCTCTCACAGCTGTAACTCTACTTCCAGGGGATCTGACAACTTCTTACCTCCACGAGTGCTGCATACAGACGGTACAGACTTACACACAGGCAAAACACCAGACACATAAAAGATAGCACAATGTTTTAGACTGCATTATTCCAACTGGACCTGTCAGTCATCTGGCTGGGAGATCATTCCTTAGAAAAGCTCATTAGCCTGAAGATAAGTTAAGAAGATAAAGAATAACCCCAACCCACTCCCTCTTTTTTTTTTTTTTAAAAAAAAAGGTTTATTTGTTTATTATATATAAGTACACTGAAGCTGTCTTCAAATATGGGCATCAGATCTCATTATAGATGGTTGTGAGCTAGCCCTCCAACCCCCTTTTTAAACAGGGTTTCTCTGTGTAACAGCCCTGGAGTCCTGGCTGTCCTGGAACCTGCTTTGTAGACCAGGCTGGCATCAAACTCAAGAGATTCATCTGCCTCTGTCTCCCAAGTTCTGGAATTAAAGGAGTGCACCATGCCTGGCAATAATTATATTCTTTAGAGCCTCTCTTTGCACATCTCTACTGTTACAGCCCCATATCTCTAGCCAAAGGCAATGTAGAGGATATAAATTGTGTTAAGCTTGACTTCTGGGCACCAGGACTCACTTCCCTCAACACTGCCATCTGCATAGAGCCAGAGAGACCTTGAATTAAATGCAATCAAGGAAGGAAAACAAATGAAGCAGTTTAGTAGAACTGGACACACAGATTTCTGATATGCGGCTGCACAGCTGGGTATATAATCCCAGGGCCTCCAGCTGCTGCTTTTGTAATAAGGCAGACGCACTGCACAAGTTTGTTGAAGCTTTAAATCAGAGTTAACTGTTTTTAGCAACTTGCTTATGAGGGACTTGATGTCTTTAAAGTCTCAGCCCTCACCATCTTCACATGGAGCTGTAGGATCTACACTGTAGAATGCCTTTTCTAAACACCACTAAGGCAGGACAGGCATGAGTAGCTCTCATCCAGTATTACAGTCTCTTGCCAAAAAAAAAAAAATAAGAATTTGAGCATATTAGCATTTGCTATGAATGTTGCTAAAAATAGAAATTTTCTTCATATGTAGACATTTTTATCTTAAGTTAACAATAAATTAGGCCTAAAGCCTGAATGTGTATGACCTTGGGTAGGCCCTCATTCTATTCCCCAGACATTGCCTAAGAACCTCAAAGAAACTGTTTCCTTATCAATTATCAGGAGCCCCTCAGGAAACATGATAGCCCCTCAGTGATAACATACTAACTTCAAATCCCACAGAAATGCCTACTGTAAACTCCAGGAGCTGCTACTTGCAGAGCATCCTATAACTACACTCTCCAATATGCCTTACTTTATTCTGAGCATCTTTCATAGCCCTGATGCTTAGACTTATCTTAGAATATCTTCAATAATGGGGCTGGAGAGACAATTCTGTGGTTAAGAGCACTTACTACTTACTTACTCTTCCAGAGGACTCCTGCCTGATTTCTAGCACCTACATGGTTACTCACAACAGCCTGCTAACATAATTTCTTGAGATTTCATGCCTTCTTCTGACCTTCATGAGTGCTGCTTGCACAAGATACACAGACACACACACACAAGAATAATAACTATTCACATAAAATTCTATAAAAATATAGTATCTTTAATAAAATCTTCAATTCTGCTTTATAAACTGATTAAGCTTAAAATTCTTCTCAGAGTGGAAGGCACAAATTCAGGTTTAGCCCCAGTAAAGTCCTTAAAATTCCAAGGGAAGTATTCAAGTTGCTAAGGGTGGTGGCCCTATTGCTGGTGGTATCTTCACCATTCCCAAAGCTCTCTCTAAGCATTCTCTCTTCAGTGGCCACAGTAATAGTTCTCTATCTGGTCCCTGAGGCTCCCTGAAGGGTTCTTTGAAATCTAAGTGGAATCAGCATTCTGTAGCCTCGTGGAGAGAGCCCATGGATACTGCTGCCAAGGTGGTGTCATCTGCACCCTCTGAAGAAGTGACTACCATGCCTGCACTGTACATAGGCACCCTAGAGCCACACATGTAATAATTAAATTTTAGTATTTACATAATTCCATTTCAAAGTACAGACTTTAGCTAAGTGTCTTATCTGTATCCTCTGTAGTGGCTGAGAGAGAAGGGCAAATGCTTAATCACTTTGAAAATCTCTTCTAAGCTACTTTCAAATGAGGACAACTTATTTGAGTCAGTCTCTATGGGGTTTGGAGCTAGATCACATTCTTCACATACTTACAGTAAATTGTGTTTTATCTTTAACTTGAAATGTGCAGATGATTAACTGTCTTCAACTGGCCAAAGGAAATATCATGCTTATAATACCTTAAAGACTTTCTGAAACCAGTATGAATGTTAAACGACAATTCTACCTAAACTTCGAATTCAAAATAATCCACAGAATGCTCTGTGTCATAAGGAAATTTTTTTGGTACTGTTCTATAAATGAAACGATATAAACACTGACAATGAAGAATTACTCTTTAATATTTATGTATAATCCCTTTGAAATGACTCAGTGGGTAAAGGCATTTGTCCCTAAGCCTGACAACCTGAGTTCTCATTCCTGGAAACTACATAGTAGAAGGACAGAATCTATTCCTGCAAGTTATCCTCTAACCTCTACACATGTTGTATGTCATGGTATCTGTTTAAGTACACATGTATACATACAGTAAATAAATAATTTAAAATAAAAAATGTTTAAGATTTTAAGTTAGGTATACTTTGTTTTTAACAGTAGGTATTTTCTATGTATGAGTATTTTGCCTGCATGTACGTCTGTGCACCACTTACATGCCTGGTGCCATGGAGGCCAGAAGAGGGTGTTGGATCCCCTGACTATTATAGACAGTTGTAAGCCTCATGAACAGGTGCTGGGAATCAAACCAGGGTCCCTCTGCAAGAGCAGTCAGTGCTCTTAAGTACTCAGACAACTCTCTAGTCCCCTACAGTAGGTTTTTTGAGAGAGATCTCCTGGCTTCAAATGTACTAAGATCCCTTGTCTCAGCTTCCTGAGTGCAGGGCTTATAGGCAAAAACTATAAAACCTGAGCAGAGTAATTTTGTTTGGGTTTGGTTTGGTTTGGTTTTTAGAGACATGGTTCCTCTTTGTAATAGTCCTTTCTGTTCTGGAACTCGCTTTGTGTACCAAGCTGGCGTCGAATTTATAGAGATCTGATTGCCTCTGCCTCCCAAGTGCTAGGATTATAGGCACACGCAACTACACCTGGTTGATCAGAGTGATCCAATGCAACTGTGATTATAAACAAGGTTTTCTGAGAGGGCTACAGATTTCAAGCTCTAGCAGGATTAATAAATGCCTTTAGAGAAACACATACATATTTATTTTCCATCCAGTATTTTTAGGGTTAAGAATTAAAATAGTATACTGTTGTTTCCCTGGTTATTCGCACGTACACGTGCACATACTCACGCTCTTCCTTTCTACCTGTTCTCTCTCTGTCTCTGAACTGTCCCTCTCTCTTTCCAGTCAGGGTTTCACTATGAAATTCCCGGCATTGGAACTCACTAAGTAGACCAACCGGTTATCCTGGAACTTGTGATCCTTCTGCCTCTGTCTCCTAAAATGTGAGTTCAAGCATGAGCTTACCTATAATAGTATTTTAATGAAAAATTGAAATCTATAGCTCCAAGTATAAATTCAACTGTTCAATTACACATTCAATTTATATGAGAACACATGGTTTCCACAAAAGTTGTAAGACTGGTAGAATATAATGGATTTCAAGTTAATTAAACAACAAAAGCTAAGAAAGGCCTCATAAAAGGAGAAACATTCAGAATCCACAGATTAAAATGTTAAAATTAAACATTAAGAGCACAAAACATTTATATTTATTAATATATTTATCTATATATCTTTATTAATATTTATTAATATAAATCAATACTTAATTATACTGAGGTTAAAAACAAAATTTTTATTTAGAGTAAATGAGATAACTAAAATTAAGTAGAATATTTGATCAAACATCTTCAGCATAATTATTCTATAAATTAGTCTCCTGAGCAAAGTGTCAATTTTGAAATTTAATAATTTTCTTACCATTTGGGGTCCAACATTCACATTTATTGGCCCTAAGGTTTTTGGTAAAATCTTTGTTGGTGAGTTGGTGCTTGAAACTGGAAAGGCGACAAGTGAAATGTTACCTGAAAAGACAAATAAGTATAAAGTCAGACTTCTGCAGTCAAGTTGACTTTTGTATATATAAATCAATGGTCCGTCCTATCCCATTCTGCTAATTTACATTTAGAGATATACTATACCTAGGGTAGTAGCATACACTTTTAATTCCAGCACTTGGGAGGGAGAAGCAGGTAAGTCTCTGAGTTTGAGGCCAGCCTGGTCTATAGAGTGAGTCCCAGGACAGTCAGGGATACAGAGAAACCCTATTTGGAAAATCCAAACAAAATAAACAAAACACTAAAAAGTCTTAATTGAAAATACATACAAACCTTTTTGTTGAAGTGAATATAAGCAGTTCTGTTAATTAATCTTATTGGCATTTAACAGGAAATTTTATTAAAATAGTTTGTCTACTTAACAACAAGTTGCAGCATCATGAAATAGATGTTTTATCCAGGTCCTCTACAATATTTCTTGTGATACTGCTATTGTACCAGAAGCAGTTTCTTTTGTTACTTGCTTCTTAAACTTAGCCACTTAAAAACTTACGGTTTTACTCTCATATGCATATATTTGATCATATACACCTGATCTTCCTTACCTTCCCTTGTCTTCCTCCAACTACTACTGACCCCCTTTCTCTTTCATTTCATCTCTCTGCCTGCCTGAAGTCCAGTGGGTTTCATTATAGGTGAGAGGCTAGGAGCATGGGCAGAATTAAGCCACTGAAGAAAACATCTCTCTCTCCTCCAATAGCCATTATCAACCTGTAGACCCTTGGGTGGGGCACGCTCATGAGTCCCTTTCCCACTCCATGATGAGATGCTGACAGGCCCAATCTTGTGTAGGCCTTATATAGGTAATTATTGCTGCTATGAGTTTAAGAATATCATAGCCTTGTCACACTCAAATGACAACATCCCCAAACACTCTGCCCCAACCTTTATCTCTTACACTCATTCTACTTCTTTTAAAATATTCTTTTATCTCTGCTCCTCAGGGATCTCACTATGCTGAAGCTAAAAGTATAAAATAGCTTTTATACATGAAGAAACTGAAGTTTAATTAAGTTAGTAATTTGTACACTATCCTATCCTCTACTCTAGGTGTCGTCTTACTCTGAAAAACTGTGACTAGCTTCTGTGGTCTAGGTGTTAGATATGCCTCTGGGCATCTTGTAAAACCTGTTATTACTTACTTGTGGCTTTACAGTAAATGAACTAGGTTGCCTTAATTGTATTCCAGTACCTAGATTAGTCTCTTGCATAAAATTCTAAAAACTTTTCAGCACAGACTGGATTCCCTAAATTTTCTAACTGGATGACAAACTTCCTAAATTGTATCTTTATTTTGTCAAGATTGATGATGCATATGGCGGTGTGTACCTTTAATCCTAGTATAAGACATTGAAGCAGAAGGATCTGAATTTGAGGCAAGAAGGCTCAGTGGATTAAGCACTTGCTGCTAAGTCTAAGGACCTAAATTCAATCCCTGGGTCTGGCATGGTAAAAGGAAAGTGACTGCACACATAAACATGTGTGCACACACTCATAAATAAATGTAATTTTAAAAACCTGCATGCAGAGGTTTCAGTTTCACAGTCTAAACCAACCTACATTTCTTTTTTTCTTTTTTTTTTATAATTTATTTTTTTCTCAAATTGTAATTCATTCACACAGGGGTTATAAACACAGAAAGGCAGGATGTGGGGAAGGGGATGACACTGGAGTGTGGGTGATCAGGGGGAATACAGATATCATCAGAACTGGGTATCGGCTGGGTGAAGGTTCAGGGGACAGGTCACTATGACTCTGCCTATGACTCGCTCGTCCTTATTTAAGTTGGTATTGTCTGCCAAGGCTACCTATTTACAAGGTCTATGACTACTCATGCTTGTAAATTTCCACAAAAGCTGCCTGTTTACATTAGCTTATAGCCATCTGTTTCAATGTTTTTCCACTGAGACCCAGGACTTGGTGTTAGTATACATGTATGACAGGCCTATTCAACCTACATTTCTTAATAAAAGTTTAAAATGGCTAGGTGTGGTGGTGCACGCCTTTTATTCCAGCATCTGGGAGGCAGAGGCAGGTAGATCTCTGTGAGTTCAAGACCAGCCTGATTTACATAGTGAGTTCCAGGACTACATAGAGAGATTCTGTTTCAACAAACAAACAAGCAAAGTTTAAGATGATAACTTGCTGGCATGGTGTCCACAGTTGTAATGTCAACATTCTTGAGGCTGAGGGGAATGACTGCTCTGAGTTATGAGTTCCATACTGGCCATAACTAAGCAGCAAGATCACCATTGAGTCCTCTCCCATATCCCATACTTAATCAGTAAATAAATCCTGTTAACTAGATATTTGAAATTATGTACTTCTCATATTCTTTAGTATCACTACTCTGGTCCAACCTGCTTTTCCACTCCATAACTCACAACATCACTTTCATACGAATATAAAAGTTACCTAACACATGTGATTACTAAACATAGAAAATGTGGTTACTGCAATGCAACATGAATCCTGAACTTAAATTTAATTCAAATTAAAAAAAAACAGGCTGGTTATCGTGGCACACACCTTTGATATAGTAAGACCTGTCTAAAAAAACAAACCAAACAAACAAAAACCAGACAGACGAAAACTAAAGCAAAATAAAGCCTTTTCTCACGAGGCACAAGCTTACTATTATGCCGTATTATACTTTATTTCACTTTAAATATTCAGCCATCTAAATTTAGATCTACTCTTAGTCTAAAATGAATCTAAAAGTTTGAAGACTACAAAAATTATGGCTATATAAATTATAACATTAATACATTAGCATATTAATAACTAATAATATAGCCTTAACTATAGTAAATGACATTAACATTTATATCAATTTCACAGTTGAATGATGCTTTAGAAAAATGTCTTGACAATATGTTGGCTAAATGTTTATGTTAAAAAGGACCACAACCAGGTGTGGTGGCACACATCCTTAATCCCAGCACTCAGGAGGCAGAGAGGTAGATAGAACTGTGAGTTCAAGGCCAGACTGGTTTACAAAGAAAGCACAGGAAAGCCAGAGCTTGTTATACAGAGAAACTTTGTCATAATACAAAAAAGAGAATCTATCATGGATCATTAAGACGGCTTAGTGGGAGAAGGCACTTATTCCAAATCTGTAACGTGAATTCAATCTGTGGATCCCACATTGTGGAAGGAGAATGCCAACTCCCATAGTTGTCTTCTGATTTTCACATGCAGTAGCATCTCACAATAACTAACTAACCAATCAACTAAGCAACTAAGTGTAAATCTTTAAAAGATCTATCCTTAGTTGAGTGTGCTGACACATATCTTTATCCCAGCACGTGGGAGGCAGAGGCAGGCAGATCTCTGAGTTGGAAGCCAGCCTGGTCTACATAGTGAGTTCTAGGATAGCCAGGGCTGGATGGAGGGAGGGAGGGAGGGAGGTTGGGAAGGAGGGAGGGAGAGAGGGAGGGAAGGAAGGAAGAAGAGAGAGAGGGAGGGAGGGAGGGAGGGAGGGAGGGAGGCAGGCAGGCAGACAGAGACAGACAGAGAGAGAGAGAGAGACAGAGAGATCCTGTTTCAGAAAAGAAAAAAAGTCCTTAAAATTCGTATGACAACTTAAGGCTGAAGCTATAAATCTCAGGTAGGGACTTGAATTGACCCAGGATTAAGGCCCAAAGACCAAGGAAGCTGTAGACCCAGGATGGGACAGACCAACTCAGGGAAAGGTCCACAGGTTCAGGGACTTTCAGAGGAAAGCTGAGGACCCAGGAAGGAGGCTGGAGCTGATACCAGACAGTAGCTGAAACTCTGGATAGAGCCTGCAGGCCTGAATACCAGTCCCACAGAGCGAAACCCTAACTCAACAGGACATGACTTAGTCCTCTCCTGAACATTGCAATCTCCTCCACCGAAAGACTGTAATTTGAATTTTTACGAAGGAAAAAAAAACCCACAAATTTTAATGCACAAGTCTAAGTGCAGAAACAAAAGTAATATAACAAACTAAAATAACAAGTCTTCTCCAAAACTTACTACTCCCATAATAATGGCTCCCGATGGGAACAATTTGGAAAACCATCCAAAGACATCAAAAGAGTAATATCTGCAAAGAACTCAGAGAACACACAAACTCACTCCAGGAGAACAAAACTAAAAGAGTTGAATGAAATAAGGAATTCAAGGTGTGAAATTATGGGATTGGAGAGGTGGCTCAGTAGTTAAGAGCACTGACTGCTTGTCCAGAGGTCCTGAGTTCAATTCCCAGCAACCACAGGGTGGCTTACAACCATCTGTAATGGGATTTGATGCCCTCTTCTGGTGTGTCTGAAGACAGCGGCAGTGTACTCATGTACATAAATCTTAAAAAAAGAAAAAAAGATGTGAAATTAGGGATTTCAATTCAAGATGTGAAAACAAAATTTTTTTTCTTTTTTTTTTGGTTTTTTTTCGAGACAGGGTTTCTCTGTGTAGCCCTGGCTGTCCTGGAACTCACTCTGTAGACCAGGCTGGCCTCAAACTCAGAAATCCACCTGCCTCTGCCTCCCAAGTGCTGGGATTAAAGGCGTGCGCCACCACCGCCCAGCAAAAACAAAATTTGATAAAGAGAATTTCTGAAGAAAATTCAAACTGAAATGGTAGTAGAAGTTAAAAAAAAAAGCCGAATAAAAAGTCGAGTAGGAAGACTCAGCAAGGGAACACAGCCTCTGGAAAGCAGCATTAGGGCTTGATGACAAGAGAAAAGAACTGGATCATTTAGTAAAGGTCAAGGACAAAACACCAACACCACCAGAGGAGAGCTTTCAGACACCACGGAAAAAAAACAATTCTTTAAACTATGGGTACAAAGGGAACAGAAAATACTTTTAGTACAACCACAGAAAAGAATCCTAAACGTAGAAAGAGATGCCCATCCAGGTATAAGAAGCTTATAAAATATCAAAACAAGATCAGAAAAGGAAGTCCCCTTGACTAACTTTCACAGTACCAGAAGGCACCAT